AAGGCTTACAACCTCAGAAACCTTACCCCGGGTAGCTGCGAGTTGGAATCGACTCAATGGCAGGGGATTGGCTGATTTGGTTTTGGTTTCATACACACACAGAGTAGTAAAATATTCAGTCTACAAATATAATCTGAAACATACTTTCTTTTTTGAATCATAAGCTCGGATCAGTCTCTAAATCAAGCCCAGCATCACCTGGAAAACACATTGTTGTTGTGAAGTGCCGCAGAGTCAGTTCAGACTCACAGCAATCTACTACAGGGTTTCTGAGGAGTGGCCAGTGAGATTGAACTGATGACCTTGCAGCTACCAGTCCAGGGTTTGTTCCGCAGCGCCACATCAGGAAAACACAGTACCGCATGTTAAAGCCAAACAGTTGCCATCATGTCAACTCACCTCTTAGTGGCCCTGTGTGACTCCAGAGGGTTCACAGTGGCTGTGACCATATGTCGCAGTGGCTGTGACCTTTTGGAATTAGCCTGCCAGGCCTTTCTTCTGAGGTGCCTCTGAGTGGATTCAAACCTTGACCTTTTGGTTAGCGGCCATGCATTTAACTCTGTACCACCAGGGGTTTCATCAGTGCACATGATGGTGGTGGCAGGGGTGTGCTGTGGAGACAGTTCTGACTTATAGTGACCCTGTACAGGATTTCCGAGGCTGTAAATCTTTATGGGAGCACAAAGCCTCATCTTTCTCCCGTGGAACTGCTGGTAGTTTCGAACTTCTGACCTTGAGGTTAGCAGACCAACTGATAACCACTCTAGGACCAAAGCTCCTGATCAATGCACACAGAGTTACCTAATTATTTTTCACAGCTGCACACAATATTCCCTACTTTCTTCAGAGAGCACGGAATTATCACAAAAAATAAGGCACTCATTATATGGCTCCCTGCAAATCAGCAACCCCTCGCACATCAGTCTCCTATATGTGATCGGCGTATTCTATGTGCATGCACATTAATTCCTGAGGCGGGCAGGTTCTATGGGAAAACATCATCTCCTAGAGAGTGACCTTGTGCAAATGCTGTTTTGTATCTGTGAAGGTGTATCTGCAAGGCAAATTCATACAGTGAGGCCTGCTGGATCACCAGTAACGTTCAGACGTGATGATACACTCCACGCTACTCCCACCTGCCCTGGGCAAGCCTGTTTCCCCACAGCCCCAGCACCTTCCCAGGAAGGATGCCCACCTTCAGGGACTACTCCCTCCTAATAACATGTCTGAAATATGAGAGACGAAGTCTTGTCATTCCAGCTTTACTTCTTCCAACACACAGATTTGTTTGTTCCTTAGGCAATCCATGGTCGATTCAAATGCTTCACCAACACCTTAACTCCAATGCATCGATCTGTCTACAGTATTCCTTATTCAATGTCCGACTTTCACACGCATATGAGGCGATAATATTGAGAGAATGACCACAATGGGACACAGACACAAAGTGAGGTAGAAAAAGGACACTGATAAAACTTGGCTTGATGCAGGGTTGCCACAAACCTCCAACTTGCAAGAGAATGCAGCTATCTGCGAAGTCCGATGAAGTCCAATAGAGCCAAGCACAGTAAGATGAGCTGTGTGGGTGCGTAACCCGGCTCTTGAATCTGACTGGTGAAGAACGGAGTCCTGATGGGGTTTGAATTTACATTCCCCATGTGAGTCAAACTGTGCGTCTTTTCAAATGTTCAGTTTTTTCTGAGCATTGTCTGTTCTGTTTTCTCTTTGTGTTATGTTTATGATGCTATGTTTTAAGTGCCATTGAGGACGGACTCGTTGTTAAATACTGTACTCATAGTGACCCTGCACAGCGTTTCCAAGGTTGTGTGTCTTTACGGGAGCAGAAAGACTCATCTTTCTCCTGCAGAACAGCTGGTAGTTTCGAACTACCGACCTTGAGGTTAGCAGCCCGATTCGTAAACACTATGCTATAGTGACCCAGTATAAGGTTTCCGAGGAACAGCTGGTGAGTTTGAACTGCCACCCTTATGGTTCACACTGACCTTGCGATCGAATGCTTATTCTACAGCACCACACCAGGACTCAATAGTTGGAGCAGTAGGTGTTTAGGCCTCTCTTTTTTACTAACTTTTTATTTTTTCCTTCCAAAACAGTTCTGTGGAGAGTAGAAAGAGTAAGTGTTGGTCTGTGACATCCGGGACCAATACTCTCTCCTACTTTGTCCTTTTATGTCCATCTGTTTATTTTGTTTGGGTTTTGGAAGGACTTGTTTGGCTGGTTGTTTTGTTTTTTTACAACCAAAATGCTCAGGATAACTTGTCCTCCTCTGAAACAGGCATGACCCACTGGTAGTTCCTTGTCAGTGTACTGTTGCAGTCAATTTTAAACTATCTTTAGCACAGTTTTAATTGCCTGTGATTAATGATATCATCTAATGATTTTCACATTCTTTTAAATCACCTCTCTTTGGAATGGGCATAAATATGGATCTCTTCCAATCAGTTGGCCAGACAACTGTCTGTCAAATTTCTTGCCATAGATGAGTGAGTGCCTACAGTGTTGCATCAATTTGTTGAAAGATTTGTTTGTATTCTATCAATTCCCAAATCTCATTCTTTGTGAATGCCTTCAGTGCACCTTGGACTTTTTCCTTCAGTACACTTGACTCTTGATCATATGCTACCGCTTGAAATGGTTGAACTTGGACCATTACTGTTTAGTACAGTGACTGTGTAGACAGACTTTCCATCTTCTTTTGACGCTTCCTGCATCATTCAATATTTTATACACAGAATCCTTCAATATTCAAGGATTCAAAAGTCAAGGCTTGACTTTTTTCTTCAGTTCTTTCAGGCCTGAGAAATGTTTGGCTGGTTGGTTTTTTGCCATGCCAAACTTTGTGTAAAACATTACTACATGCAAATTTTTCTTATAGTGCTTCTAGATTTTGATTCATCTCATTTGCTGCATCTCATTTTCTAGTATCCATCTATTTATTTCCAACTCAAGTCCATTTGGAGCTTATTCTGATGTACACAGGAGATACTGAGTCATTTTCATCTTTTAACAAATGAATCTGCAGTGGTCACAAGCATCACTTCTTTCAAAAGACACCCCCCACACCCTACCCCATCCCCACCAGTGCCTTGAGTTTCCACCTTTTGTTGTTGTTGTTAAGTGCCATCGAGTCGGTTCTGACCCAAAGCAACTCTATGAAATGCCCACATTGTGTGGGTCTTCCTAAGTCCGTCCTACCATTTTAACCACAAATGTGTGGTATGTTTAGTATGTGACAGGACTAGTCCTTGTCCTTGCTTCTTTTGCAAAATGTTTCTTATTCTCTTGTTTGCTTTTGTAGTCTGGGTTCCAGAACAAATACGTTTTCCATTCAACAATGTATACACACTTTATCTTATGACAGTGGTATTCCTGACTTTTCTTACGTTTAATTTTTCCATCTGAATCACCTTGTTTAACGCAGAGGAAATCCTGACTGGATTTGTTCTGGGAATTGTGTCAAGTTTAGGCGTCACGAGAACGGACACCTTCACAGCACTGTGCCAACTATGTGCAAGCATACTGCTGCTGTCTCTTCCTCACAGAAAGCCCAAAACCAAACCCACTGCCGTGGATGGGGCTCCAGCTCCTGGCGACCCCATGTGGTAGAGAACAGAACTGCAGTCCAGAGGGCTTCCAATGTTTTCACTGGAAGCTGTCAGGTCCTCCTTCAGAGGCACCTCCGGATGGGTCCAAACTGCCAACTGCTTGGTCAGTAATCAAGTGCTTAGCTGTTTGCATCATCCAAGGATTCCTTTTCCTCTCACATAAGTTAAGGATTTTTCTTTGTAAATTTAATCCCATGTAAGTATTTATCTGTTGTGTGGCTACCTTAAATGGGGGTCTTTCCTTCCACTTTGGAACGTCTAAGGGGCTTTGGTTTCAAAACATACAGAATACTGACTTCTCATGTGACCTTATCCTGCTACATAACTGAATTCTCTCATGTGAGTTTGTGTTAGTTGTGCCATTGGTTTTCTCTGTTTTTCCAACAGCTTTACTTCTAATGGCTTATGAATTTGACACATTTAATTTAGGAAATCTTCGCTTTCCAAAACTCACACATAATTTCAGGACTGGAACTGAAGTCACCCCATGCCTCAACTTCCAACCAAGCAATCGCCAGGCCTCTGAAGGCGGTCCACACTCCTCAGCACAATCAACCACACAAGATCCAAAGGACACCATTCGCCCGGGGAGAAAGCTCAGAAGCAGGAAAGGAGGAGGAATGAAAACAGGAAAATTAGGGAGGAAGTGCAGACCGTTACATTGTGGGGATTGTAATCAATGTCACAAAGCAAAATGCTTACGAACTCTTGAACTGAAAACCAGCTGGCTCTGTAAACTTTCATCACAACTGAAGAAACAAAATGATGAATTGTGTCTTCTCAAAAACACTCATAGGTGAAGAATTCCCATTAAACTGTATTTCAGGTGTCCTGGTGAGATGTGGCTATTTGCTCCTGTGAAGATTTACAGCCTCAGACACCCTCGGGAGCAGTTCTACTCAGCCCTGCAGTGTCACTAAGAGTCGGAATTGACTCAATGACTGTTTGCTTGTTTAGAACTACCTACTGATCTCAATCTTAGATCACTGGACATTCTCCACTCATCACTGTGACAACAACAACCCCAGGTTCCCACATTCCCCACGTTCCCATGCCTCTACCCACACCATCGCAGCACCCACAGACCAGGCTGCCAGCCCCGAGCCCCAGCACCGTCCTGTCTTGTGTCCCAGACCAGGGTCTGGTCATCCCCGGTCCCCTCTGCCACTCACTACCCCGCTCCTTCCTCCGTACTGGTCCTAATGTCTTCTTCTGTCTGCCCTCCCTTAGGAAGGGGAGGTTCTCACAAAGCTCAAGTTGAACCTCCACATTATAAAACTATCAAGACAAAAGCCCAAGACATGCAACTCCTTCATCATGGGCTCAGATGGAGAACTTGGCAATGCAGAATCGTACTTCCCAAAACAGTGGTACCTTTTCTTTCTTCATACGATCCACAATGTCGCCGAGATCCTCAACATCAAGGACAGGATTCAGACTCTGGCGGGCCTCAGGGCCACACTCTTCCTCACTGCTGTTCTCCAAGGGCTCCTCCACCTGAGACAAAAAGGCATTGGTTATCCGTTTCCAAGAAGCAGAGCTTCTCACACACCTTCCCAGGCGGCACATTTACCATCTTCAAACGTGAGCCAGAACCCAAGCCAGACCCACAGTGTTTTGATGAGTCTCACTTGGGGTTTTCTAGGCTGTCCCAATACGGCGCTGCGGGTAAAGGCACTGGACTGCAAAGCTGGTTTGAACTGTAAGGTCGAGGGTTCAAGCTCACTCCTTGAAAAGTCCTATATAGGGTCACTATGGGTCAGAACCAACCCTACAGCACTTTAACAACATCTTTAACGGGCAGTTCCACTGGGTTTAAACCACTCATCTTCAGATTAGCAGCCAAGCACTTAACTATTGTGCCACCAAATCAAAAATCAAAAAACATTCAATGTCATCGAGTTGGTTCTGACTCATGGCAACCTTTACAGGTCAGAGAAGTGTGCCACGGGGTTTCCGAGGCGGTACATCTTCCTTCCGCAGAGCAGCCAGTGGGTTTGAACTGCCAACCTCAAGGCTAACAATTAAGTGCTGAGCTACTGTACTGAATTGGTATTGTAAAGGCCAGGCCATCTGAAGGCTTCCCTCATGCCCTCATGGATGCCTCATGCCGCAGGCGGACCTCGGTGTCAGCCTGACCACTGGGCGAGGACGTGAAGGCAGCTGCCAGCTTCCGGCCCGACCCCGGAGAGTGAGTGAGTAGGGCTCAGGGAAGGTAACGCACAGGTAGACAGAGGGGCACAAGACTATGAGCCCACCAGACTGCAGTCCTGAGCTAGACTTCTAAGGGAGGTATGTTCAGCCTTAAGGGTCCAGGTAGAGCCCTGGTTAAAGTGCTCAGCTGGACACTGAAAGGCTGGCGGTTCAAACCCACCAACTGCTCCTTGGGAAAAAGGTGTGGCCATCTCCTTCTGTAAACCCTACGGGGTAGGTTCCATTCTGTCCTACAGGGTCACTAGGAGTTAGAACCGACTCGATAGCAGTGAAGTTTTTCCTAGGTTCAGTACCAATCTTCAGAACCACACTCCACGGCACTTAACAACCACCATCTGACAGACGAGAGCTTGAGGGCTGGAGAAGACGCCACGGTGTGTCCACGACAGCTGCAGACAGACTCTTCAGCCCTTCGTGAGAAACTAAAGCAGGTTTGTGAGCAGTCATGTATTCGTGTGTCTGTGTGAAGAACCAGGTAGTGGCTAAGGAACCCACAGACCAATGCCCAGTTCAAAGAAACACCCTATCATGTGCTGGCCGAAAGCCCCAGAATAAAGCATTGAAAAAATCACCCAACCAGCTGTCACCGAGTCAACTGTGCTCCACTGGGCTTTCAATGGCTGAGTTTTTAGAAGGAAGCCAGACCTTCCTTTTAAGGCACCTCTGGATGGAGCTACACTTCCAGCGTGTCAGTACATTAACCCTTTATATCACCCATGGACTAGATCACAGCGTGCACACGCACATACACACACACACACACACACACACACACACAGCCAAACGCACTGCAATCGAGTCCATTACGACTCACAGCAACCCAACAGGGCAGCGCAGAACTCCCTCAGGGGGTTCACTGACAATCTTTACGGAAGCGCACTGCCATGTCTTTCTTCTGCTGGTGATACGATTCCAGTTAACAAATTTTTGGTGAGCAGCCTAAGTGCTTTAACTGCTGAGCCACCAGGCTCTTGAAGCCCTGGCACCAGTACCCATGCAGCTTTCAAGGGAAACTGTACACAGCACCTGCTGGAGGCCACTCCTCATCCTGCCCCATGTGGTACTAACCACCCTCATAGACGGCTTCCCACTTCCGCTGCATGTGTGTGTGTGTGTGTGTGTGTGTGTGTGTGTGTGTGTGTGTTTGGGGGCTCAGGTGCACCTTCTACCTCATCATTAAATTAGTTGAGTCATCTTTGTTTTACTTGTAGATGACAAAAACCAACCGCATCTGATTTCGGGTCTCTCAGAAAACCTCAGTCAGCTAACATCCTCCTTGTTCGAGAGCAAACATGAGGAAACCCTGAGGAACAGTCTTCCTCACAATGATTCCATTTGCTTCGGTGTTGCTCAGCCAACACCGGAAAGCACAACATACAAGTGCTTCAGGCTCTCCAGTGGGATTCACCATCGTAGAACCCCTGAGTTCCCTGCATTCTGGGCTCACAGCCCCTTCCCTTTCAAAACCTATGAAATCTTACACACTGAAGAGACATGAGAGGTCAGCTAGTCCAATTCCCATCCCATCCTACACTGGACTCACGGTCATCAAACTTTTTCATAACAGGCCAAATAGTAAATGTTTCTGATCATGCAAGACAGTCTCTGTCCCAATTACTGTACTAGGCCACTGGAAGGTGGAAGCAGTCCTAACAATACGTCAAGGGAAGAGCGTGGCTCGGAAACAGGAAGCAGGCAGGACTGGTCAATCAGTCATAGTTTGCCAAACCTAGCCCCACACCATCCCCTGTAATGTCCTACAACATCGTAGCTTCTGATACAAAGTCTCAGGAACCTGCCACTCCCATCCCCACTGCTGTGGATTGGATTTCCAACTAACACAGAGACCCTGTAAGACAGAGTACAATGGCTTCTGAAACTGTATGGGAGCAGGGGGTCTCATATTTCTCCTATGAAGTTACTGGTGGGTTTAAACCACTGACGTTCTCATTAGCAGCCGAGTGCTTACCAATGTGTCACCAGGACTCCTTGAGACAAATGGTGGATCTGCATCTTCTAGAGTTCACTCTGTAGGACTACACTCCAAGTCAGGGAGACAAGCCTGAAGACAAGAATGTCTCCAGCAACAATCTAGGGAAGAAGACAGGGCCTGAACCACAGGGGGAGAAGCATGAAGATGGGCTGCTCCAACAATGGGATGTTTTCAGCACCAAGGACAGCACTGTGGCCAGAACTGGGGAAGCCAGGGAAAGCAGGATGAGGTTGGACAGATGCAGGGGTCCAGTTGGGAGTGACCTCGTCAGTCATAAGAAAGAGGGTGGCTTTTAAGCAGGAGAAGGATTCGATATGATCTGTGCTTGTAAGATTATTCAGAATACCAAGTGACTCAACTTTCAGGCAAACAACAGGCCTACAGGGGGAGCACTAACACCAGGGAGGGCTGCGCTCCTTAAAACAATCAACCACACAAGATTCAATGTTTGAAATCAATGACAAGAACCAAAATGTGTGCAAATCATGGAATGGGAAACCAATTTGCTCTGTGAACATTCATGTAAATCGCAAAACGTTAAGACAAGACCAGCTAAGAGGTTTCTACAATAGGTTATTGTTGTTGTTAAGTACCGTGGAGTCGCTTCCGACTCATAGCAACCCTGTACAGGGTTTCTGAGGCTATAAATCTTTATGGGAGAAGAACGCCTCATCTTTCGAACTGACAACCTTGAGGTTACAAGCCCGATTGGTAACCACTACGCTACCAGAGCTCCTATAAAAGGCTAATCAAGCAGTGTACTTTGAATTTACAAGAGAGCAGTGGAGATAAAGGAAAAGAGTAGATTTCAGAGATTTTAGACCTCAAACTAAAACCGCTGCCTTTCCAATTCCTAACGGCTCTAAAGCAATCCTACGAGACAGAGAGAGTAACAGAAGTGCTCCATAGATTTTCTGAGACTGCAAATCTATGGGAACAGATAGCCAATTCTTTCTCCCATGGAACAGCTGGTGGGTTTGCCCTGCAACCTTGCAGTTAGCAGTCTAACACTTAACCCACTATGCAACCTGGTCAAATGCAGCCAGTTCAGGCTAATCTGACCACGCTCATGCCTCCGTGCATTATCTTTGGCTATTTTCTTGACACAAGAGCAAGATTGATCATTGCAACAGAGGTACCCATGAAGCCCAAGATACTTACAGAAAAAGTCTGCTGGCCTCTAACTGATCAGACTAAATGTGGAATTAGATATGAGCTTAAGGGAAAGAAAGGAATCAAATGTGGTTCTTAAAATGTCCACTTTAAGGATTCAGGTGGGATTTCTTCAGGTAAGAAAGGCTTGGGTGGAGGGAAGGAACAGACTGGGAGGGTGGACATGAAGACTTTTATTTGGGGTTGGTGACGTTTGAGATGCCTGAGCCATCCAAAGAGAGACAAGCACATCTATCAAAACAGAATTCATGGCATACCTCAGGGGTTGGAAACAGAAACGCAGGAAGAGCCAGCAAGCAGACAGTGCCCGAAGCCAGGAACTGGATGAAAGTCTTCAGGAAGAAAGTGTCCACGGAGAAAAGAAGCCAGTACCGAGCCCCGAGTCCCTCCAACATCCAGAGGCTGGGTAAAGGAAGAGGACTCAAGACTCAAGTAAGCAAGGAGGGAAATTATTAGAATGATGATGTCAGGAGAGTCTAGACAGTGATTGTAGGGAGCCATATCAGTTGAGAGGCCTAGGAAAATGAGGGGAGAGAAAGAGCCACGAGGTTAGACAACATGAAGGTACTTGGCCTTAGACTAGAGCCGCTCCACAGAGTGGGGGGACAATTAGCCTGGCCTTGTCCCTGGTTCTACAATGGACTAGTCATTGCCACTGAGACTCAAAGATCTGCTCCGTAGGGTTTCCAAGGCCGTCAAACTGTATAGGAGCAGATAGCCCTCTCCTTCTCCCAATGGTATGTCTAGTGGGTTCGAACCTCCTAGCCATCCAACGCTTAACCCACCTCACCACCAGGGCTCCTTCTATGATGGATTACAAAGCTTGAAAAAGCCACCAGCAGGAAATAACAAAAACAGACGCATGTGATGTTTCAAGAGCATGGTTGTAAATGCATCACTAAGACAGCCAAAAAGCAAGCGATCCATAGGTCAGACAAACAGAGCCAAGGAGGAATCCTGGGAGGGGAGTGAGAGCCAGAGCTGAAAGCACCTGCTGGGCCCTGATGAGGCAATTGTGACACCTGCAGAGGACACGGGAGCAGCAGGCAGATGCTCCAAGGAGAAGCAGGTAGCCTTGTGGGCCCTGAGTCCAAAGAAAAGAGCCCACAAGGCTACATGCCCAGGGTGAGGAGAGGAAAGGTGAGCTGAGAACAGACAAGAGGGGAGACAGCTGGAAGGATTTTAACCAGAGTCTACAGCTTACAAAAGAAGAGTAAAGGGAAAGTTGCATGGTAAGAATTAGGAACCAAATTAAAGTGGAACCCCCTAAAGCAACACTACATCTAAAACACAAGGAAGCAGTGCCTCCACTTTTCTGGAAGAAAATCAGTCCCATTTCGAATCCTGTATCAGCCAAAGCATTCATCAGCTGCTAAGGAGGGATAAAGACACCTGCAGATGTTAAAGGACTGATAATGTACTTCCAAAAGCATTCTTCCTCAGAGAACTCCAAAATAACAGGCTTCAAAAAACAAGCCTCAACCAGGAAAGGGGATGATGGAAGATCCAGGGCATCTAACCTAGGAGACCAGTGAAAGAAATGTGAGCATCAGTGCACAGAAGGCCCAGGGCAGAGCAGGGCTCCGAGGGAGGTCCCCAAGAATCAGTGAAATCCACAATGCTTGAATAGAAAAGTCAGTTCTTTAATAAGAGTGTTGGGATAAGCTAGTGGAAGGTCCACAGTCCTGGTGTGGCAAAGCAGTATAATGCACTGGATCGCACAGTAGGTTTGAACTGCAAGGTCGGTGGTTCAAACTCAGCAGTAGCGCCTCTAAAATCCTATAGAGGGTCACTATGAATCAGAATTGATTCGACAGAAGTTAACAACAACAGAGAAATGTGGTAGTTATCAAGAGAAATAAACATGTAAGAATGAAAATGTGGTCAATCCACAGCTATGAATATGTTAATCACCATAATCATGAAGCTGAAGGCTGACAGGACCACACAGAAGAGCCAGGAAAGTGATGATCTGTGTGCAATTTTAGTGAGGGAAAAAACAAGCAGTTGGTACCACTGCTGTTGTCAAATGCTGCCAAGTCGGTGCTCACTCATGGCGTCCCCGAGCACAAGGGAGCGGACGCCACGTCACTCTGAGCCACGGGGGTTTGGCTAATTTTCAGAAGCAGATCTCCAGGCCTTTCTTCTTTGTGCATGTTTCCTGTTGCCGTTGAATAGATTCTGAATCACAGCGACCCCTAAAGGATGGAGTAGAAATGCCCCATAGGGTTTCCAAGGCTTGGAATTTTCACAGAAGCACGCAGCCTCGCCTTTCTCTTGCTGAGTAGCTGGTGGGTTTGAACGGCTGACCTTTTAGTATACAGCCGAGTGCTTAACCACTCATTACCAGCGCTCTTTTTGTCTAAACCACAAGGTTGGCAGTTTGAGTCCACCAGCCACTCAGTGGGAGAAAGATAAGGGGTCCTGTTGCTGAAAAGATTTACAGCCTGAGAGACGTATACAGTGTCATGATGCATCAGAACCAACTCAACAGCACTTAACAACAGTGTGTATTAGCCTGTTGTTTAGAATTACAGAGGTAAATACCTGCACCAAAAAGCCAAAAGAATTGGAAGTAATTGCCTTCAAAGAGTTACAGAGAATGGAGGAGGGAAACTGTTGTTTCTAATTATAAGCTCTCTAGTACTACTGGAGGTTTTAAAAGTATGTGTGTCCCTCATTTTGATTAAAATCACACAACCAAGTTTACAAACCAGTATAAGCCAACTGGAGGGAGGATAAGCAAATGTAAACAAACATAAAGACCAATAGGAAAGAGAGAGGAAAAATGGGGCAGCAGCTGCCAGATGGAGATAAAAGGAAAAACTTGCTTTTCATTTGCTCTGTGGTTGGTTTATGTGTTTGTTTGAAGACAAGTGATTCCTGGACCTATTTATTTATTCCCAGGAATGATCTAGTAGTCCCAGGAATGATCTAGCAGAGACATAGAGCAGTTAATGATGCAAGAGAGAGATGTGGTCAATGAAAGAATGGAGTGGTTGGTTCCAGAGCACTTGGGTAAAACAGAGTGAAAGGCGGGAAATGAATATAAAAGCTACAATGGATACTAAGGGACATGAAAGAAGATGCCTTCACTCTCCAACAAAAGGGTTCTGGGACTGAGTGGGACAAAAAGAACAGAAACGAGACATTTCAGAGTGGACCACAGAGAAGGCAGCTGCCAGGAAGCTGCTGCATAAAGCACAAATAAGAATGATGGGAACAAGGGACAAAAGACGCCAAAGCTGTCCCTGAATGAACACAAGGGAGCAGCTATGAAGCCTACAGAGAGGGGCAGGGCGGGAGATATGAGCTTCAGAGGAACCGGAGTGTCTGAAGCAGGCAGAGCGTTGAGAATGTCGGGGATCTGAATGCAGGACGATGGTGGAGAGATTACCGAGAGACAACAGGGTGGAGACCCGTTTCCTCACCAGCTGACTGGCAGTGCCAGGATGGAGAAGGGGCCGTGGCATAGTGACACGCACCACCTGGCTTAAGTCCGAAGGGCACACTCGCCCTCTCACACTACCCACAGCACACAGCACCCACTCTCCCTTCTACCCCAAAGCCACTGAAGCAGATCAGGGTGGCCACACACCTCGGCGCCTCTGTGGGGAGAACCTTCTCGCCTGTCTGTGCCGTGCTGGCCGGAGGACCCACGTTTCCCTTTCTGGCAGTTGCTGCCACACAGTCTCTTGTGTCCTTGTCGGAGCTCCTGCAGCCGGGAGGTGAGCTCGGTCTTCCAGGCGCTGAAGTCGGCTTCGATGCTGCCATGTCTGCTCCGGGCCACGTCACAGTCGCCTTCCCCTCGGCTCAGTACACGGCGGGCGCCGAGCAACCACAGGCACCTATCCACGTTCCTGCCCACCTGCAAGCAAAGGACACAGGCCTGCTGAAAACACAGCCTGCTGGCTCAGAGGTTTTCCCTGCACACGTGCTCTGGGCTCCTCAGGGGCTCGGGTCAAGGCTGCTCTGTTCCGCCCCCCAGGGCTGTGGGGTCTACGTTCTGATTTCCTGTGCTAATGCCAATCTGGCAAGACCTGTGACTCCACGTTTCAAACACAAACTGGACTGGAAGTAAAGCAATGGAGCTGAGTAGCCTAACATTTCGTGGGGTTCCTGAATGGCAGGCAAGGCGTTCAACAAAATAGACACACGTCTAGATTTTCCTTCTCTGGCCTCATTCCCTTGAAAATCTGGGCTATGAACAACTGAATGGCAGCATTTAAGGAAAGGCTCCTACCATCGCCAGGACTTCGTGTCAACAGAGACAAGTGAGCCAGGCTGTCCCCCATGTCTCAGGGACCCCAATAGCTCTCTGCTGTCAAGTCGATTCCTGGTAGGATAGAGTAGAGCTGCCCCATGGAGTTTCCAAGGCTGACTGCCTCAACATTCTCCCACAGAGCACCTGGTGGGTTCAAATTGCTAATACTTCTCTTATCAACTGAGCGCTTAACCCCTGTGTCACCAGGGCTCCTTGTAGCTAGGGAACGGTCACACATAAAAGTTCTGGGAATTTGTAGTCTGATTAAACAGTCTAGAAGGCCTCTAGGTGGTACAAACTGTTGGCACTCAACTGCTAACCTAAATGTTGGTGGTTAAAACCACTCTGGTAAGTACCGTGAAAGAAAAGTCCTGGCAACGGCCTTCTGTTAAGATCACAACCTAAGAAACAGTATGAGGCAGTTCTACTCTGTAACACATGAGGGCATCATGAGCTGGAACCGACTCCATGGCAACGAGCAACAACAACAAGAATCCAAGGGCTCCCCCTTTCTGAAGTATAAAACAGAGCAGGCAAAAGTAAAAAGTCACAATGATCTAATTAAAAAAAAAAAAAAAAGCCCAGCAAACAAAGCAAACTACAATTAGCAATGCTGCTGCTGCTACTGGTGTGTGCCGTGGTTCTAACTCAGAGACCCTCCCTGCAAAGGCTTGCCAAGGCTGTACACCTTTACAGGAGCAGAAAGCCTCGTTTTTCTCCGGCAGAGTGGCTGGTGGGTTTGAACTGCTGACACAGCCGTTAGCAGCCCAACATGCAATCTACTAAGCTACCAGAGATCCTCAAAACTAGCAGTAAGTTATTATATACAGGGTTGTTCCAACTCACAGCGACCCTGTATAAGGCTTCTGAGAGTAGATGGTGGATTTGAACTCCTGACTTTGAAGTTAGCACAGTTAGCAGTCCAGTGCTTAGCCTACAGCGCCAGGTAGTGGATATTTACTGTTTTCCTTTAAAAAAAGTAATGCTTTAAAGAAAATGAGTTCAATTGTATTAAGACAGAGACTGGGCTTTAAAGGCTGTCTAATCATAGAACCTGGAGTTCTGGTGTGGCGCTGTGGGTTAATGTGCCAGACTGCAAAGCCGTTTGAATTGCAAGGTCGGCGGTTCAAGCTTATCAGCTGCTCCTCAGAAACCTTATACAGGGTCACTATGGGTCGGTATCAACTCAACAGCACTCAACAACAACAACGAACACAGAACCTCCCATTGAAAGAGTCCAAAGAACCAGCAACCTTCTAGCCACAAGCTTCTGCCTAAGACGGGATTACACTCTGAGCAAGCAGGCTGCTAACACTGGGCCTGGGGACAGAGGGCTACGCTCTGAGTGAGTAGGAGGCTGACTCCATTGCGCTTAACACTAAAATCAAGTCCCCAAGTATAAGGAACAACACAAAAACGTATTATTAACTGCCAAAGTGTGTGAATTTTTCACATACACACGTGTGTGATTTCTTCTTTTTTTTTAAATTAAGCCACCACAGGGATTTAACATATCTACTCACCTTGTTGAAATGGCTCGTGTAGGCTGAATTTCCCAGGCCAAACACTGCATATCTCAGACCCTTCAGGTAAGTTCTGCCGAACCGAAAATCACTTGCTGCTTCCTCCAACCATCTGCAGAACCACTCAGCACTCTCAGGGGGCTGCCCATCCGTGTACGTAGCAACCAGAAAGGCACAAACGGTTTTACTCGTAGCCTGGCCAAGAAAGGAATGATTTCAGAAGGATATGTGAAATCGATTTTCAGATGATTTCCAAGAAAAACATCCTCAACTAAATGCCGATGTTTGTATCATACTAATCTTGAAGGACAAAGGGTGTGCTCAGAAGTATAACTCACTCTCCAAAGTGAAGAAAACAAACAGTAAGGGTATCTTACACAGGAGAAAACACAACCCTCTGCCCTTGCCAAAGGAAGCCTGGTGGTGCGGCGGGTTAAGCATTGGGCTGCTAACTGAAAGGTCAGAGGTTCAACCCCACCAGCCATGCTACAGGAAAGCAATGAGGCAGTTCACCTCTACAAAGATTTACAACCTCAGAAACTATATGGGCAGTTCTACTCTTGTCCTGTGGGGTTGCAATGAGTTGGATTCAACTCAACAGCCAGTGTGCTCCCTTGGTGCCCTTCACCATCCACTCGATTTCATCTTTCAGACAATAAAGTCCTGTCACCGTAGATTAGAAACAACAATGCAAATCAGAGGAAAAAAGTTCACAAAGAGCTCTGAAAATTTAAACAAAACCACCAAATGTAAAATAACAGGTGTCACCATTGCATGAACTTTGAGAAACAAAGTACAACCCAAGCTCTGTTTGCTGTCATCTTCAGTTGCCGTCAAGTCCATTTCCTGCCCCGTTGGGGCTTCAGTCTCTTTCTGACCAGTAAGTCCAGTCTTCTGTCAAATTTTGAGTTTCGTTGCACCTTGTCTCCCACTCTCTCCAGTACCTTCTAATGTGACCCCTTTCCGAGCAATTGTAGTATCTGAGCACCACCTAGTTCTGGTCTCAGAGTCGTGGTGACTGATGTGCACCTGTTTCATTGGTCCACTGGACAAGCTGATTCCATGCATCTTCAATTTTCATCACTCTTGTTTCTTCCACACATGGAGACCAATAGTTTACACCTTAAATGGTCTCACTCATGAATTTTTAAGATACTACTTGCTACTCACCAAAGTAGGATGTGCCAAGTGACCGTGCTGTCCTCCGAGACTATGGTTCTGAGCCCCCTGGCCCAGCAAGTCATTGCCTCAAGGTATTACTTAGACAGGTTTTCAGGGGATTGAACCACATAACTGGCTTATGCACTAGTTTCCTATCCCCTCCATGCATGTTACGCATATGGACGTAATTATGAGAAAACACCATAATACATGGGGGGGTTCACCAAGACTCAGAAATAACTTGATGATTATGAGTTTGGCTTTGTGGGGCAGGGGGACCTATGGATACTCGAAGGAGCTCTGGTAGCGTAGTGGTTACAAGTTGGGCTGCTAACCTCAGAGTCAGCAGTTTGAAACTACCAGCCGTTCCATGGGATAAAGATGAGGCTTTCTGCTCCCATAAAGATGTACAGCCTTGGACACCCTATGCAGGGTCTCTATGAGTGGGAACTGACTCCTCGGCACACCGCCACCACCACCATGGCGATTTGGTGTTTCAGTGGCAGGCCCATACAGCGGAAGATTTGTGCTCTCTGGTCCTTCATAAAACAAGAGGGCTAACCCCTGCTCTGAGGGCATCTCCACCTTCAGCTGCATCAGAATCCAGAAGACTTGTGAGAACACAACCCCACCTCCAAAGTCCATGGGGGCTGGGGGCTGAGAACCCGCATTTCCAAAAGTATCCTAGAATCGCCGACTTGAGGGGTTCAGGGATCTTGCTCCGAGGATGTAAAGCAAATTCCCCAAAATGGGCCCACCTGGAGGAGGGGAGGGGTGTTTTTCAGGAGGAGAAATGAAGCCCACACAGAAATGAAGACCTGCCATCCAGCCACACAGTTACTGATGGTTCCGCAACTCCCAACACCCACCATCTTCCTTCTCAATGGCGGCTCTCCAGCGCTCGGTCAGCTCCCATGGGCTTCCTGTACACGGCACACTTCCCTCAGTGACAATGTGACTATGAGACTCCAGATGAGGGGAGGAGACGTTGGACCACACAAGCTTTCCAACACCGAGTCCTGCCCCTGGTGTGGCACTAGACTGCTAACCACAAGGTCGGCAGGTCACACCCACAAGTCACTCCTTGGAATCCCTGTAGAGGGTCACTATGAGTCGGAAGTGACTAAGCTGCACTTATCAGCAGTCTGGTCCCCCAGGAGGGTCTACCCACTGCTTCACACAGTGAGTGTCAACCATGCGTTTGTTACTTGGTTTTGGCATTAACAAACAAATTTATTCTCTTACAATTTAGGAGGCTAGACGTTTGAATTCAGAGCGCCAGCTCTGGGGAAAGGTCCTTGTCTCCTCTCGGCAAGTGCAGGCCCAGCATTCCTTGGAGAGCTCCATGTGTCTTAGCATCAACCTTCCCCTGGATTTGGGAGCTTCCTTCACAGGGTAGGGACCCCAGGCCCAAAGGACACACGCCACTCCTGGCCTATCTGTCTTGGCACTAACAGTTTTCCCTCTCATCCGTGCATTTGAAGCCACAGAAAACTAACCTCACTGAAATTCCTCCCTATGAAAACACAATGAGGCCTGAGAATGCTGTGTGTCCCTGAAAATAGGAGGCCGACTACGTTGGAGGGTTCTGACCAAAGAAAGCAATCAGACAAAGACCCACCTCTTCCAGCAGATGGTCCTCTGGATCATAGTCTTTCAGATTTGTGATTGTCACAGGCAGATCGAGGGATGCAACTGCTTCACCAAGAATTGCTGCGAATCCCTAAAAAAGGCGAAAAGTGTCAAAGAAAGTGGTCTTCTCTTGCTGCACAGCAGCCAGGGAAGAACAACAGCCATGGTTGTGGGCCTCAACAAGGGCCATGAGGTGACCAAGAAAGTGAGCGAACGGAGGCACGGCTGCCACCACTGCACCAGGTTCGTGTGGGGCATGATCCGGGAGGTGTGCGGCTCCACACCCTAGAGACACGGGCCACAGAGCTGCTCAAGGTCGCCAAGGACAAGCCGGCGCTCAAGTTCATCAAGAAAAGGGTGGGGACACACATCCACTCCATGAACAGCGAGAGGAGCTGAATAATGTCGGGACCACCATGAGGAAGGACTGAGCATGTGCCTGTTCACTGTGCACCTCTGCCCCCCAATAATAAAGCCTTTCCAGAAACAAAATGAACACTGTTCATAAGCCAAAGGAGCAAAATGCCATCCTCACCCACCCTGTCTCAACGCTCATGAGAAACTTCTCTAGGAACTGACCCAAGGTCGTCAGCCTGACTTGGAACCACACCACACACAAATGAATGAAGCAGACACTGCCCGGCCCTGTGTCGGCCTCACAATCAGTGCTGTGTGAGCCCACCTCATGGAGGGTCTTCCTCTTATTCTCTGACTTATAAGAGGGGGCTTCAAGAAGTGCATGTAAAATTTCATGATCTTTTCAGTCAATTTTTCCACAAACTCTTCGAAGCTCCCTCTTATAGTTAGAGCCATCTATGGAAATAAAGGTTAACAGAGATTATTTGGAGAATACTTCTCATTGTGAGAGGAACTCCTGGTAGTGCGCTATGTTAAACATCTGGCTTAACTGAAAGGCTGGCGGTTTGAACACACTGGCTGAACCAGGGAACAAAAACATGGCCTTCTGCTTCCATAAAGATGTAGAGCCTCAGAAACCCTATAAGGCAGTTCACTGTGTCCTCTAGGCGCGCTACGAGTCGGAATCAACTCACTGCAGTGGATTTGGTTTTGGGTTTTCACTCTGAGATTCTGAAGGAGACCTCTCCTAGGTAACAGGAAAAACCCTGGAGGAAAATTGGTTGAGTGGTCATCTGCTAACTGAAAGGTTAACGATCCAATCCCATCCAGCAGCTCTGTGGTAGAAAGATCTCCAACTAGAGCTGAAACCAACTCAACATCTAATAACAAGCGCAACATAAAAAACGTTGTGCTGTTCATACACCTGGCTGCCTTTAGTGAGGTCCTCCATCTCTGTAGTTACAGCTGAATTCATGAAATTCATGATACGAAACCAATGCCAGTATTAAAAGGCTGGAAAGTATTAGTCTAAACAACACCCACAAGAGGGCAGCACAATCTCGTGCTTAAGTGGTTGCTTCTAGCTGCGAAGTGCCAGGAGCTGGTTCCAACTCATCATGACCCGGATTCCAGTTCTGAGAAGTGCTGGTGGGTTTGAATTGCTGATCTTGTAGTTGGTTAGCAGTCCAGTGCTTATCCGACAGCACCACCCCAGGACTACAAAACACAACCTTGATTTTATTTTCAATTTGTTTTCATGTTAACCTTACTTTAGATTTTTCCTAGCAAACACTAAGCAGCTGTGACATTTGTAACAAATCAGCAGGAGGTATCCAGATACAACATGATAATGGGGCGCATCTTTCAGCTCCATCTAGTCTAAGTGGTATTCAGTGTCTACCTCTAAAATTACTTTAACAACATTCACTACCTCACTACCATAAAGTGATTCCAACTCATAGGCACCCTGTGTAACATTTCCAAGGCTGTATATCTTTACAGGAACAGAAAAACTCATCTTGCTCTGACAGAGTGGCTGGTGGGCTTGAACTTCCGACACTGCAGTTAGCAGTCCAGAGCTACAGCGCCACACCAGAAGTCAAAATGCATTTCAGTAAAGAGATTCTGGGGCCCATCCAGGGCAAGATCACTGCCATTCTCGTTTCCTGTCCCCCTCGTCCTGATCCACAAATACCAATATTGGCCTCAGAACTCTCCCCATCCTGCTGTGGCACATGCAAGCTTCAGAAGGCTCAATCATGACAGTGGCCACCAGGTATGACCAACCAGTTAGAACTGGGCACAAGAGATAAAACCGAGCCGCCATTCCAGATCTCACAGAAAAAGGGAAGAAAACCGCGACTAAAGAAGACGAAAAGATCAATTCCATTCACTGCAAAAGGACACTTTTCAGAAACATTGTTGATGAAGTCAGGGAACAATTCTTACCTTTGCAGTTCCCGTCTGGGAACCATAGAAAATCTTCACTCCAGACACAAAGACCTCCTTCTTTGGACAGGAGTCAGAATCATTGGTCATCAGATCCCAAGAGACTCGTGGGACAGATTTCTCCTGTGAGTTCTTGTCCTTGGAAATAAACAATTGTGAATATTCTCTGTCCAATCTGAAACTGTTCCCAACTTCAGTCAGGATGCAGGTTAGACAGTGACCCACTGTCTTATGTTTCTAGTTGTATTCCTCAAATACTCCTCCCACTCCATTCCCGTCGAGGTGACTCCAGCTCACAGAGACCCGACACAACAGAGGAGAACTGCTCCTTAGGGGTTTTGAGGTTGGTATCCTTCTGAGAACAGATTGCCAGGTTTTTTCACCTGTGGCACAGTTTGTAGGTTCAAACCACCAACCATTCACTTAGCAGCATAGTGCTTAACTACTGCACCACCGGAGTTCCTTCCTCAAATCGGAGCTACTGAATCACCAGATCCTTTAAAGGAAGACCCACATTTCTTAAGACATGATCCTCATTCCCTCCAAACTAAAGCTCTCATCAATAATGTCCAAAAAAACAGTGAAACTTATTTTTCCTATCCTCAACTAATGAATAGGACAGAGAAAATTATGGCCCCTTAAAGGTATAAAAAATTTTTTTTTCTTTTACAAATTTGATTTCTCATGACAAAATGTTCCTGGATTCTAAGCACGAAACATCCACAGCCCATCAAAGTAAAAGTAAATAACTCAGTCATCAAAACTGAATCTCCGGGTGATGGGGAGGGCAATATATAAGGAAGGGAAGGGCAACACACAAGAAGGGGGTGGGGGGTGGAAGAACAAGGTAGATAGGGGAACACTTAGGTAAGTTTGTATGGGCTAAACAGGACAGAGGTAAATAGTGATGTATCCTCAACCTTGGAACAACAGGGCTCTGTGATACAGGGATCGAGTCATAATCCAGTTGGGTAAAAGAGCGGGACTAACAATGTTAAGGTGCTTGACTGTCTTATGGGTATTGGTTTCCCTTGCCTACTGTTGTAAAATTGACATGTGAGTGGGATAGAAAGGAAAAACAAAAAATATTGATTACAATAAGTTTATAAGCCTATCTTCAGCCTATAACTGGTTAGAATACCTAAAAGGGGTTCTAGAACTTGCCCAGTGAAACAGGCTTCTTGTGGAGCCTTTGTAGAGTAGAGGGCCTTAGGTGGAATACTGAGTCCCATCCAGAACCTTTTGAAGTGGGACATTCCTACTTGAAAGGACAAGCAGACCAGCCTAGAACAGCTACAGGACCAGAAGATACTTCTTGAAAGAAAGACCAGCAGAAAAAAAAATTAATAAAAACAGACTGTTTGGCTATTACAAGAAAGAACAAGCAAGCTATTCACCAGGGAGCCATTCAGGCAAGCTACCAAAAAAAAATTAAATAACTCAGCTATCAGGCCCTTCAGGTCAATGCCCGCTCCAAAACTGAAACTCAAAGGGAACACATGAGCAGACTTCAAAGCTTGCTGGTGACCACGTTGGTCTATTTGTGAGCTGAAGTGGGGGAAAGGCAGTAATGAAGGCTGAATTCAACCATGTTCCATAGATTCCTGTTGGCTTGAGATAAGAGAGAGAAGAGGAAGGACTGGTTGGTCCGAAGTCTGGGGAGACTTGGAACTCCTGAGCCCATGGACACTAACCTAGCCACTAGGGGCTAGAGCTGAGAGTGAAGCGGCCAGCTGATATGAAGTGGGGGGAGGCACGCAAGAATGCCCAAACTTACCGATAGTACCCATTTGACCTAGCTTGGATGGCTTGATGATCAGAATTCGACTAGAGGAAAATAAAGCTGTTTGGTACAGGAAGCAAGTGTTGCTGTTGTTGTTGTTATGTGCTGTGGAGTCGGTTCCGAGTCATAGCGATCCTGCACAGGGTTTCCAAGGCTGTAAATCTCTACGGGAGCAGAAAGCCTCATCTTTCTTCCACAGAACAGTTGGTAGTTTCAAACTGCTGACCATGAGATTAGCAGCCTGATTCGTAACCACTACGCTACCAGAGCTCCCTGGAAGCAAGTGTAACCTGCTACAATTTGACGTACTTGATCTATACTTATGGATGTAGTAGCTCAAAATACCAACTGAGTGGGCAGTAGTCTTCACATCAAGGATCAAGCCTAACCCTTCAGTACACAGGGTCGACAGGGATGGGCTACTTAGACATTTGTTATTGTTGTTGTTGTTAAGTGCCGTTGAGTCGATTCCAACCCATAAAGACCCTGTACAGGGTTTGAGGAGCAGCTGGTGAGCTTGAACTGCTGACCTTGTGGTTCAAACTGACTTTGCAGTCTATCGCATTAAGCCACAGTGCCACACCAGGACTCCAATTTAGGCACCGGCTACCTAAAATGGGGGTAGGGGGAGCTATAAAGGCAGAAAGTGGCAGGCTTACAAGTTTTCAAGAAGGACTTTAGATTCAGGGGGGCGGGGAGGAGTAAAATCCCCACTGGATAGTTTTCATCTTGTCTAGACAGGACTGGTCAAAGTAGATGGGGATAGGATTCTTTTGATTCAGTAGTAACTGTTATTATGACTAATTGTGATGATCATAACTGTAAAAGTACAAGTTTTGTAAAAAGGGGGTAGTAGTGAATCTTACAGTCCAGGAACAGAGGACCCTCAGACCATCAAGGGAGAAGAGCGTGAGCAGAATATAGGACCCAATCCAGAGAAGCAGAGACTCCAAAGATGGAGGCAGAGATGAGGACATAGAGAGAAGGAGCAGCTGAGGACTCTGGACTCATTAGAAGAGAAAGGCTGTGTGCCAGTGGGTAGGAGGTAGGCTTGCAGAATTTGTGCCTTTTAGTTGTTTACATGTTTATATATTTCTGCATGTTTTTGTGTACATCAAAAAAAAATAAGAGAGGAAGACGTAAATACTGTTAACCGATGGTGCATGAAGGGGATTGTAATCATTGCAATGAAACAAAATACGATTGGTTGAAGGTAAAACCAATGTCTGCCATGTAAACTAACCCTCAATTCACAATAAAAACTTAAAAAAAAAACAAAAACCTGAGTCTCTAACAGTTTAGGAACATTTTTGTTGTCAAGTGCTGTTGAGTTGGTTCTGACTCATAAAGACTTTGTATAGGGTTTCTGAGAGCGGGCTGCTAGGTTTGAAACACTGATCCTGGGGTTAGCAGTCCAGGGCTTATTCTCCAGCGCCATACCAGAATGTGTTAGAAATAGTTTGTTCTTGTTAAGTATTGTCTAGTTGGTTCCAACTCATAGCGACCCTGTAAAGGGTTTCCTAGGCTGTAAATCTTTGCGGGAGCAGAAAGCCTCATCTTTCTCCCTTGGAGCAAGGGGTAGATTCTAACTGCTGATCTTACAAAACAGCTTGTAATCCATTACACTACCATTAAAAATAAATGTCTAGGGATGACAAATAAAAGTGATTGAAAGTTCAATTTCTATTTTTCTAAAATAAATGTAGTAATTCTGAATTCTAAATTTTCAGCAAAATCTGATACCTAAACACCCTCTTACAATAAAAGAACGCCACTTACCTGCTTCTTGATGACAATCTGGACACAAATCCAAAGACTAATGCCAAAGGCAAAACCCAAATATATGTAAAATCTGTTTATCCAAAGTGATACCAAAGGTGAGAAGTCCCAGTTATCCAAAGAAGAATCTAAATTTAAAATGATACATATAGAGTTTTGTTACTAACTACTTACACGCTACCATGTTCATTATTAATTCCAAGACACACAGTTTGCTTAAAAATTACATATATAAAGATGTTCATCCTAATGTTTTTTGGAGTCATTCATTTAAAAATATTATGAGGCACATGGTGGTGGTGGTGGTGGTGGTGGTTGTGTACCACAAAGTCATAGAGACCCTATATAGCATCCCTGAAGCTGTAAATCATTACGGGAGCAGAAAGCCTCATCTTTCTCTCTGGGAACAACTGGTAGATTCCAACAGCTGACCTTGCAGTTCGCAGACCAGCCTGTAATCCATTACACTACCAAGGATCCTTGTGAAACATGATAGGCACGTCATAAAATTTGTGAACTGAGTGAAGGTTTACAGAACAGATCACTTTAACATTCAACACATTCATCTTTCTTAAGAATGAAGAAAATAAATGCATATGTTAAGCACTGGACTGTGAACCACATGGCCTGCACATTGCAGCGTGCCAGTCACTTCCCAAGAGAAAGATGAGGTTTTCCGCTCTTGCAAAGATTTGAAAGTCTGGAAACCCTATACAAGGTCGTTACGAGTCAGAACTGACTTGAAGACACTTAACAACAACAATAACAAAGATACATATAGAAAAATCAACTCTAATAAAAATGCACTGTTAAATGTGACAAAATTATCATCCCATCATGATGCACACTCAGAAAGGAAAAAAAGGCAGAAGAAATTGCACTCTCTAGGAACAGAAAACGAAAATCCTTGATGTGGAATTACGACTCTTTGTTATGCTTGCTCCATAAGAAAAGCTTAGAATGATAAAATGTTCCCTGATTTTATTTTTAATGACCCGCGGTTACTTGTAAAGAGTAACCTCACGCCCCCTAGCTAGAAGAGAGATGCCCCGGGACTTGGCTTCCACTGCCGATCCTGGCGACAGGTCCAAAAGGCGTACAGGGGCTGTGGTGCCCTAGGAGGGTTCAAACGTCCCAATCCACGTGGGTCAGGAGTGAAGAGGGGCGTTTACTCTGCCTTGAATTTGGGGTTAAAAGCCGTTTCCTTTTGAACTCACTCACTGGTCTCAAGAGGCAAAAGCCAGGTCAAAAGGAGAGTTCAGTCGCCGATTCCCCCAACCGGAGCTGTCTGGTGCTGGCAAATGCAACGATCTCTGGAGACTACAGGACGCTTCTCCACCCTGAGAGGGTCCCAGAGAAACGGCGTCCTCCCCTCCCGCCCCACCACCCCTTCCCGCGGGTAACCTTACCCATGTTTCTCAGAGCCCGGGCCCTGCCGGAGAGTAGGACCTGGGACCCGGAGAGTGGGGACCACGAAGGGCTTCCTAACTACCACAAAGGGTAATGTATATGTCTGAGGCCGGTTGCGGTAGGGGCAGCCATGCTACTCGCAGGTAGGGAAGCTGGAGGACTTGCGGTCTAGTCCGATTGGCTCAAAGGGGGAAGAGGCGGGCCCAGAGCGAAGCTCCGCCCAGATCTCGTGGCTTGGATGCTTGAATGTTCCCAGTCCAGATCTGATTGGCTCCAGGAACAAGGGGCGGGCCTGGAACGAAGCATCACCCAGACCTAGTACTCTTACTGTTGAAAGGAACCTGGGTTGTCTTAAGAGAGTTGCAAAGAGTTTTTGCTAAATGCAGTCGGGTTGGTTCCGACCCCTAGCTACTCTGTATAGGGTTTCCAAGGAGTGACATATGAAGTGGCATGTGGGAAAAAGTGGGGCAGAAGGGATTTTTAAAGTGATTTACAAAAGAGGGAACAAATCTTTACAGGGAGGATCATTCCCACCCATTACACAGAGTAGACAGGGATGGGCAACTTAGACATTGGCTACCCAAAATGGGGGAGGGGGGAGGGGCTTTACAAAGGCAAGAAGTGACTGTCTCACAAGCTTTCAAGAGGGAGCCTAGATCCAGAGGGCCTAGAGGAAGGTAGAATCTCCACTGAGTAGTATATCCAATCTGTATGTTCGGGGCTGATGAAAAGAGCTGCGGATAGATCTCTTGTGGTACAAAAGTGAATAATTGTTATCAGAACTGACTGTGATGGTTGGACATATAAAGGTCGGCATTTTGTAGCAAAAGGAGAAGCGTGACTGACTTTGCAGTCTAGGAGCTGAGGTCCCTGGGACCATCAAGGGGAAAGAGCGGGGAGCGGGACCCTACCCAGAAAAGCAGTGACGCCAGAGATGGAGGCAGAGACAATGACATGGAGAGATGGAGCAGCTGGGAACTTTACACCCAGAAAGGGAGAGGGGCTGGCTTGGTTGATGATGAGGGGAGGGGATTGTAACCATGACAATGAATACAATAGGATGACTGTAAAGCTAATGTTCTCCCATGTAAACTATCACAGAAGTCACAATAAAACACTTTTTTAAAAAGTGATTTATAGAGACTTGCACAGCAATGTTGTTGTAGCACTTTTCACAATAGCCAAAAGATGGAAACAACTGAAAAGGCCCATAAACAGATGAATGTTTTTGTAAGATGCCATGGAGTCCGTTCTGACTCATAGAGACCATGTGTGCAGCAGAACAAAAATGCTGCCTGGTTTCCCACTATGCTCACACTCTTTGCTCTGTGTGAACCCTGTGTTGCAGCCACTGTGTCAATCCATATCAGTGAGGGTCTTCCTTTGATGACCTTCTTCCACTTAAGATGTCCTTCCCCAGGAACTGGTTCCTCCAGTCCCTCCAGATGGTGGTTACGTGCCATGGAGTCGGTTCAGACTCATAGCTACACTGTGCAGGGTTTCTGAGGCTGTAAATCTTTACAGGAGCAGAAAATCATCTTTCTCCTGAGGAACCCGTTGGTAGTTTCAAACTGCTGACCATAAGATTAGCAGCTCAACTCATAACCACTATGCTATAGGAGCTCCTTGGTCTCTCCAGACAACATGTCTAAATTTTGTGAGAGAAGTATTGCCGTCCTCATTTCTAGGTTGATTGGATAAACAAAATGTGGTATAGCCATACTATGGGGTATTTCTGAGCCATACAGAGAAATGAAGTCCTGATGTATATCATAACATGAATAAATCTTCAAAGCATCATACTTCACAAAATAAGTCAGTCACAAAGATACAAAGACTGTATGATCTCACGTATATGAAATAAGCAAACACATAGAAACTAATACTGGGAAACAGCCCTGCTGCCACAGTAGTTAAAGCACTCAGCTGCTAACTGGAAGATCAGTGGTGCCAATGACCAGCTGCGCCCAGGAGAAAGATGTGGATCACACCTGAGAAACCCTATGGGTCAGTTCCACTCTATCCTACAGGGGTTTTATGAGTCACAATCCGCTGGACTGAAACTTGGGTTTTGTTTGTTTGTTTGTTTTTTCAAAGGTGGAAAAAAAAGGGAGGAAAGTTTTTGCATAGGAGGCACTGAATTTATGTTATTAGTGGTCTGCAATTCTAACCCACCAGCTGCTTCCTGGAAACCCTATATAGGATCACTATTAGTCAGAATCACCTCCACGGCACTTAACAATAATAGTGGTAAAAAGATTTGGAAAAGAATAGCGTGAATGGATGCATAACATGAAAAATGTAATCAACATCACTAAATTATATATGTAAAAACAGTTGAATTGGATAAGAGAGACTTAAGTGACTCATCAGCCAAGTGCAGTTTATGGGGCGCTTTGAGTTCCAATTGGAACAAATCAATTGTAATAAGGCACACTTAGGGATTATGAACTATTAGGTGATATTGAGGAATAGTAGTTTATCCTGTCAGGTTTATCTATTAGGGAATATACCTAATTAAGTATTTAATACTGAAAGCATACAATGATATGCTATAAAATATTCCAACAATATAACAGTAGTTGAGATGGTGTATTAGGTTCATAGGGGCTCGTTGCAGTTTTTCTCTACGTTAGACGTAAATTTTGACTATAATAAAAGGTTAAGATGGGTGTGGCCCCTGAATTCCTAGGAACTATGTGGCGTCCGTGTAGTGTTTCCATCGGGTCACTAAATATCGGCTCACCAACCTATCAGCGCTCTTTGGCTTAAGTAAAGCAAAGCAAGGAAAAGCAGAGCAATGTCGTAAAAACACGCAGGCGTCGTTGTTCACTTTTACCTCGCTCTGCGACCACACAACCTGACGCCTGCGCAACAGATCACGTGGGTGCATTGTGGCGGCTGCCGGAACTGTGTTAGCGGGGTGGGTGCGCGCTTTACAGACGCTGTCGCGCCGCCGCTGCAGAGTCGTTACAGCGCAGCGACGGTGGCCTCAGGCCGGGGCTTGGGTCTGCCCAGGTTCGCCTGCCCCGAGGCCTGTAAACAGCCACCATGTCGATCTTCACCCCTACCAACCAGATCCGCCTGACCAATGTGGCGGTGGTGCGGATGAAACGCGCCGGGAAACGCTTCGAAATCGCCTGCTACAAAAACAAGGTCGTCGGCTGGCGGAGCGGCGTGTGAGTGACCCTTCAGTCTAGTGGAGTGGGTGGGCCAAGTGGGGATGCTTCCGGGAAGGAAATTGAAAACGCCTTCCTATTGGGAGTATGAGATCCTTGCCTTTGCCCATCTTGCCTCCGGACTAACAGGGTCTTTTTGTTACCTTGGTTGGTTTAGGGGGTTATTTTGGAGACACGGTCCAAAAATCCCGTAATTAAAGACCGTTTTTAGAATAACAAAGTTAAAAAGCCCTAGTCTTGCAAGCACTCAATAGTTATAATACCTTTGCTGTCACAGAGCCCAGTTTCACCCTAGTGTTTAGGGTGCTCGCTGCTGCCCTCTAGGGATCGGTATTGGGTGGGGGCAGCCGCCAGGCGCCCACACCCTCGCTCCCCACCTTGTTTAAACGTTAACTGCTTCCTTGCCTTGACGTTTTCCTCCAGTGAGTCAAGGTGGATATAAATGCGCTGCTGACTTTTGACATTGCTTCTTTCAGCACTTGTCACGTCACGTAGGAGTATTTGTCGTTTCTTGCTCTTCTTTGTTGTTACCTTGTATTTAAATGTGAACGAATGTCTCATGTTTCAAGTGTATTCACTCGGATCCTTTCCTACTTTCACAAGGGAAAAAGACCTGGATGAAGTTCTTCAGACCCACTCCGTGTTTGTAAACGTTTCCAAAGGCCAGGTTGCAAAGAAGGAAGATCTTGTCAGTGCCTTTGGAACTGACGACCAGACTGAAATCTGTAAGCAGGTGGGTTCTGCCAGCGGCAGCAAGTTGTTATTGTTGTAGTAGGTGCCCTGGACTGGATTCCAGCTCATAACGAACTCCGCAGGATGGAGTAGAACTGCCTGGTAAAGATTTCTGAGAAGATTGTCAGGTCTTTCTTTTGGGGAGCCACTGGCCTTGTGGTTAGCAGTCAAACCCTGCACAGCGTCACTTTGAATAATGCAGGACAGGCTTATTTTTTGAGAAAATTTCTAAACATTCAACTTTGTACTAAATGATCTTAGCTTGCCCATTTATACATATTTTAAATGTACTAAGTCCTGGTGTGGCACTGTGGTATAATGCATTCGACTGCAAGGTTGGCAGTTTAAACTCAGCAGCCAGTCCTTGGAAACCCTATCCAGACTTGCTGTGAGTCAAAACCGACTCAATGACACTTAACAAGCCTGGAAATAAAATGTCATCTATTTTATCATTTAGGCCCTTTGCTAAGAGTACCTTTTCCCCAACCCCACTGGATTCTAAATAAGGGAGGTTTTTGGAACATAGGACAATCCAGTGCATCCTTCGGGTAACACCCATTTCATTCCCTACACATCAACTGGAAAAGATGAACCTTCATTTTCTTCCCTAGTTACTAATTCTGGTGGTTAGTTGGCAAATTGTGCATTTCCCAAAGGAAGACACTGGCTTCTTTTTTTTTTTTTTTTTCCCCTTTAGATTTTGACAAAAGGAGAGGTTCAAGTATCTGATAAAGAAAGGCACACACAGCTGGAGCAGATGTTTCGGGACATTGCAACCATTGTAGCAGACAAATGTGTGAACCCTGAGACAAAGAGACCGTACACTGTCATCCTGATTGAGAGAGCCATGAAGGACATCCACTATTCAGTCAAAGCCAACAAGAGTACAAAGCAGCAGGTGAGAACTTTCTAACAACATCAGAGCCAACTGTGAAGTCGTGTTGCAGAAGACATGAAAACAGGGTGTAATATTTTAAAAAAGATACTTGAAAGCAAGTGGACAAGGTTATGTTTTACTTCTCTTTTGCGGGGGCAGAGACTGACAGGAATTATAAAGACAGACAATGTCTTTTATTTTTTTCTTCAGTTAAGCACGGGTATGCATAGGATTGTCCTCTTCAGCCAAATTATCCAAAATAAGCCTTAAACGATGAAACTGATTTTTTTCCAAGGGTCATTTCTGTCATATCGATTTTCAATTTAAAAAAAAAACTTACCATAAAAGTCACCTTTTCAAAGTGTACATATCAGTGATATATTCAGAGTCTTACAACTGCATCCACTATCTAATTTCAGAAAATTTTCAACACCCCAAAAAGAAACCTGGTAACCAACATATTCATTCCCTCGGGCCCCTGTCACTTGCCTATTTTCTGTCTTTGGATTTGTCTGGACACAACATGCCAATGGAACCCTACAGTATGTGACTGTGTCTGACTTCTTCCACTTTGCTTCATTTTTAAAGGTTCAACCATATAGTGGCATTTATCAATATTTTATCTTTTTATGGGGGCGTAATATTCCGTTTTATGAGTATGCTACATTTTATTAAGACACCTTCACCACTATTTTTGACACTGAATCGTGCGAAGTGGTTTTTTTGTGGATCTGTGCCTTCATATCTATTTGATGTCTACCTAGGAATGGAAGCGATGGGTTGTATGATGACTATTAGGAACTGGGAACTGCCCAGCTGTTTCCACAGTAGCTGCATCGTTTTACATTACCACCAGCAGTGGATTCAGCTTCAGTCTCTCCACATCTTCACCAACACTGCTTGTTTTCCTTCTTTCTGTTAATAGTCATCCTGGTGCGTGTGAAGAGATGTCTCGTGGCTTTGATTAGCATTTCCGTTTTGACTATTGATGGAGCACCTTTTCATGTGTGCTTACTAGCCATTTATAGATCTCTGGAGAAATGCCCAGTCAAGTGCTTTGCACATTTTTAAATTGGGTTGTTTGGCTTTTTTTTTTTTCCTTGTTGAGTTGTACAAGTTCTAAACGTATTCTGAGTACTAGTCATTTATCAAATAAACAGGTTACAAATTCTGTAGACTTTGCTTTTCGCTTTCTCACCAGTGATTGTAAGATGCAGAACAGAACCTCGAATTCATTTATACATACTAGACAGGTTGAGAGTAGAAGGAGCCCTGAGCTACTCTTTAATCCTTGAACCAAAATCATTTCCAGAGATCAACTTTTAGGAAAATAACAGATGGGCTAACATAGGTCCCATGTTCCTTTAGAAAATCATCCCTAGGAGACTAAAGAAGTCAAGGACTGCTTTAAAACAAAGATGAGACCCTAAGGGGCTAGGGAAACTAGATGACTGGAAATGGGACAACCAGACTGAATTAATGAGAATGTTCATTCATTGTGAAGAAGGGATCCAGTATCACTGAATTGTTGAATAGGAACCTAATCTGCTGTGTTAATGTTCATCAAAACCTCAATTGTTTTTATATGTAGTTAAGTCAGTTCCGACTCACAGTGACCCTATATAGGATTTCAGGAACTGTAAATCTTTGTTGCGATGAATGGCTTGTGGGCTTGAACTGCTGACCTTGTGATTTACACTCCAGTACTTACCCTGCAGAACCTCCGTGTTTCCAAAAACATTTTTAATGTATTCATTTTAATTGTGTATACATTTTTTTAATGTATTCATTTTAATTGTGTCCAATTTCTGGTTTTTTGTGTTTTGCATTTTTCTTATGCTGTTGGTGTTTTAGCTAAGGAACCATTGCCTGCTCCAACTAGAAACAGCTTTGTTCTGAACGCCTTTGGAAAGAACGTAAATTGCCAGTGGCTTCCATTCTGTCTTGCTAGGCTCTGGAGGTGATCAAGCAGTTAAAGGCGAACATGAAGATCGAGCGTGCTCACATGAGGCTGCGGTTTGTCCTTCCAGTGGGTGAAGGGAAGAAGCTGAAGGAAAAGCTCAAACCCTTGATCAAGGTCATAGAGACTGAAGACTATGGTCAACAGTTAGAAATTGTAAGTTTGAAATACTATTCTTTCTTTGCTTCCAATCTACCAGAGTAGTTTTCTGTGGTGATAACAAACATTAAGAAGGTGTGAACAATAAGCTATTTCCAGAAACATCTCTCCAAGAATGAGGTTATAATATTAGGATCTAAGTGGAACTCATTTATAGTGATGCATTTGTGATTTGTCCCAGGGCTTTGAACTGGTTTAGCCTGATTCAGTCATGGGTGAGTAAGTAACAGTGGAACGGACCCAAATTTTTTAAACCCAAATGGAAAAAATTATGGTTTGAAGTCCTGCTAAAAATTAGAAGAGTAGCATTTGTGTTACATAGCAACCAAATCTCTTGAACACCAATTGGAAACAATGGTGCCCAGCTCAGAGATGGTGGCCGGTGACACCACTCTGAGTGGGTGTTGCTCTCCACAGTCCCAGCAATGATCCAGTCTCCCACAGCAAGCTCCTGAAGGGGCTCACTGCACCTCTTCTGAGTCACCCATTTTAGGGCCTTCGCCTGTAATTCATCCTGTTCAGCATTCCAGATCACCCAAATCTATAAAAATTCAGGTTTGTTCTGGTTTCTCTTGGCTACAACTGATTCGGTTTGAATCCCTGGTTTTTTGTTGTTGTTTTTTTTAAATAAAATTAATTATGATAGAATACCATGGGGAAATTCATTTTATCATTTCATTCAAAATTTCATGAGGAAATTCCATTATCATTTCATTCTATTTTTCCACAAAGTTTTTGAAGTCCACTCATATTTTACAGTGAGTCTTGAATCATAGAGGAAATAGAAATAAAAGTTAATCAGCTGAATTTACCCGAGAACCTATCAAAGAAGCAACAAAAACTTGGTGTTTGGGTCCTTCAGACAGTAAATTCTGCGTCTGGGATTCAAGCATTCAGGATGTAGAAGCTTCTTTGACAGATAAGTTGTGGGGTCTGTGGAGCATCATGCATTTTCCCTCTAGGTGTGATAACAAAGTATTTTCGAAACTGTACATCTGGTTTCTAAGAAAGTAGGCCCTCCAGTTTCCTTTTCTTCTTTCAGTGTTGGAAAGAAAGAGATCATTTCACTTAAGTTAGAAAATGTAATGCTGCACTGTGGTACACAAAGGAGCCCAGGCCCCATCTTTCAGCAGGGAGGTCGATGCCTGGATGCTGAGAAGCAGACCTGCTTCCTTGTGCATTCTCTTCTCCACTGCATCTTGGCTCTGTAGTATCACAGATATCCAGAAAGGGGGAAGGGAGGGGAGGGGGGGTGTGGTTTGTCTTGCTGTTAAGTGCTGTCTAGTTGGTTTCAAGTCATAGCCACTCTGTATAGGGTTTCCGAGGAGCAGCTGGTGGGTTTGAACCTCCGACAGGTTAGCAGTCCAGTGCTGCTCCTACAGCATTACACCAGGAGTCCTGTGTTTGTCTTGAAGGAAATGTATCCCATTGAATTGACTGTCTCTGTGCAGTAATTGCTGTGCTTTGGTTCCAGGTGTGTCTGATTGACCCGGGCTGCTTCCGAGAGATTGATGAAATGATCAAAAAGGAGACAAAGGGCAAAGGCACTCTGGAAGTCCTCAATCTGAAAGATGTGGAGGAAGGAGACGAGACATTGGAATGACCATCACTAGTCTGTTCAGCTTGCAAACACTAAAGTGGTTTCTTTTCCAACCATACTGTTTGATTTCTGTGGCCCGCCAAATACTTGCTCAGCTACCACAATTTTGTGTTAAACACGTAACCAAGAAGACTTTGCTTGGGAAGTATAATAATCTGGGATTGATTTTGATGTAATTATAAATTGGGGTTGTAGGCTTAAGTGAAAAAAATTCCAAGATGCAAACTGCAGACTAGCATCTTGCGGTCTGCCGCCTCTGTGTCTGGGAGGTGCCACTTGTGGGCATAAAGGGATAAGGCTGGGCATTACTGTAAGGTGACTGTTCTCGGGGTCATGCTGCCTGACAAAGAGGGCGTTTACTGAAAATGAAGGTAAGAGTCTGGTTGCTGCAGAATGCAATGTACGTATGGAGGTAACTCTAGAGGGTCTAATGTGGAGCTTGTGCGATGGCTTCTATGCTGCCATAACCTAGGTACTTCTCAGTAAAAAATAAAGTATATAATATATAGTAATGTAGCTGGCGTTATATGTAATCAATAAAACTACTCTTATTTTGATTAAACTGTGCTTTGCGTGTTCTAGACAGCTTCCTAATTTCCTCTTGCCCTCTGCCTTTTGTCTCTGATAGGGTTGGGAACAGGAGTCCTTGTGTGGCAAGGTAGGATCAGCGCTGAATAGCTAACCTCAAGGTCTGCAGTTCAAACCTACCATCTTGCTCCTTGGGAACCCTATACAAGGTTACTGAGTCGAAACCAACTTAAAGGCACACAACAGGATTGGGCAATTAAGTCCCAACAGGGCCTATCCTGATTGTTGTCTGTTCTGACCCACAGTGACCTTATGCACAACAGAACGAAGCGCTAACACTGCCTGGTCCTGCACCGTCACAATCGCTGTCACACGTAAGCCCATTGCAGCAGCCACTGCCAGTCCACGGGAGGGCTCTTCCCCTCTTTTGCAGATGCTCCACTTTACCAAGTACGATGTCCTTCTCCAGGCACTGGTCCCTCCTGACAATACGTCTGAAATATGAGAGAAAAGTCTCACCATCCTGGCTTCTAAGGAGTATTCTCGCTGCACTTCTTCAACAAAGATTTGTTTGTTCTTGAGGCAGTCCATGACACTTTCAGTATTCTCCTGCAACACCATAACTCAAATGCATCAACTCTTCTACGGTCTTCCTTATTCACTGTCCAGCTTACGCATGCATATGAGGTTATTGAAAATACAATGGCTTGGGTCAGGCGCACCTTAGTCCTCAAACTGACATTTTTGCTCTTGAACACTTTAAAGAGGTCTTTGTGCAGCAGATTCTTAATACAATGCGGTTTGATTTCTTAACTGCTGCTTCCATGAATCTCCTGATAGACACTTGGTAAGTCTTAAAACGTTTAAAAACCCATTGCCCATTCTGACGGACAGCAGCTCTAAGAGTAGAACTGTGCCACAGGGTTTCCAAGGCTGTGAGCTTTATGGACACTGACTGCCACATCTTCATAGCATAGCGGCTGGTGGCTTCAAACTGCTGTCCTTTCTGTGAGCAGCTAAGCACTTAACCACTGCTCCACCTGGACTCCTTCAAGAGGTGAATTCTGAGGGTATCAGAAAATAGCAAGTGTATCATATGTCAAAGTTAATGCTGATTTGTAATAAAATCTTAAAAAACTTATAATCACATTTAATATAGCCATGTTAAGTGCCACCGAGTCAGTTCTGATCATAGTGACCCTGTGTATAGGGCATCCAAGGAGCGGTTGATGAGTTTGGACCACCAATCTTGTGGTTTAAGCTGACCTTGCGGTCCAGTGCTTTATCCCACACCACCACACCAAGACTCCAGTATATCCATAAATAACATATTTAAAATAACGATGCAATATTATACTTTGTTGTTATTAGGTGCCATTGAGTCAGTACTGACTCATAGCGACCATATGCACAACAGAACAAAACACTGCCCTGTCCTGGGACAACCTCACAATTGTTGGCATGTTTGAGCCCATTAATGCTGCCACTTTGCCAATCCATGTTGCTGGGGGTCTTCCTCTTTTTCTCTGACCCTCTAACTTACCAAACATCCTTCTCCAGCGAGTGGTCTCTCCTGACAATATGTCTAAAGTATGAGAGACAAAGTTTGGCCATCCTAGCCTCCAAGGAGCAGGCTTGTACTTCTGGCTGTACTTCTTCCAACACAAATCTGTTGGTTCTTTTGGCAGCCCATGGTACTTTAAATATTCTCCCAACACCATAACTCAAAAACATCAATTCTTCTATGGTCTTCCATATTCACTATCCAGCTTTTGCATGCATATGAGGTTATTGAAAATACCATGACTTGGAGACAGCAAATTAAGGAAGAGAACATTGTTAAAATGAACATTCGCTCAACACCACTTAAAAGTGTGCCGTTCATTCAGTTCTGATTCATAGAAACTCTGTATAAGAGTTTCCAAGGAGCCACTGGTGGATTTGAACCACTGACCTTAAAGTTAGCAGTCCAGTGCTTATCCTACAGCACCACACCATGACTCTACAGCACTTAATGTTGTCGCCTGAACCACCGACCTTGCAGTCCAGCACACTAACCCACAGCACCACACTAGGACTCTACACCACTTAGTAATGAACTATTATTCTCTCTTCCCTTAGGCAAGTATTGTGTCTTTCCACAATTGTCTACAATGCTTTTCATAAACTTTGACAGTACTTGGTCGACACACATGCTGCATGAGAACAATTTGACAGATCTTTGATTCCATGATAGCTGGGAGCAGAAGAACATGAGGAAACTTGGTCTGGGCTTGAGCCCTCTTAAGATGCAACCATCAGCCCCCCATGCTGTTTGCAGCGTTCAGACTTCTGCTTGTACATTTCACTTTAGCAGCACAGACAGCCTTGTCAAAGCACAGTACCTGAATTGAAAGGTACTTTGGGGTCACAGGGATTGGATTTACAGTTTCCTTTTCATCTAACGACAATTGCTTTTTTAAAGGGAGACCTGATTTCATGTTTTTCTTCTAAAAAACCAACTTTTATGATTATTTCCAACTGAGCTACTTTTAGTCAAAAACAATCACATGTAGTTAGAACAAGGGAAGTCTCTAAAAGTTGCTGTGTTAAAGTAGATTTGTAAATTTTTTTGTTACTTCTCCTTTGGGAAATAAGGAAGGACCCTAGTGACACTATGGGTTAAGTGTTGGCCTGCTAACGGCAATGTTGGTGGTTCAAACCCATCTCTCCACAAGAGAAAGCTGAGGCTGTCTGCTCTCATAAAGCCTCAGAAAGCCCATGGAGTAGCTCACCTCCGTCCTGCAGGCTCCTCACTGGGAGTCAGGCCACTTTGGGAAAAGCTAACGGTGCAGCCATGAAGCCTAGCACAAAGCAGTTTCTACCAGGGGTGCACTCACTGGTTTCTCAAATTGGGTTTCCAGGTGCGCACCCCAGCAGAGCCCATGGCTTCCTCGGTGACACGTGGTTTCCAGTGTACAGCCAGAGGATTTCGGCCATGCGAGAGGGAGCGGCTACTTACCCATCATCCATCTTGCTGCCTCGAGACATCTAGCTATCGACTTCACGAGCCCCTGCCAAAAGCTGTGTAGGGTTGACAAGTGACATGTCATTTGTTTCCCTCACACCATGGTGGGCTGTCTCCATGTGTGTCAGAGTAGAACTGTGCTCCACAGGCTTTCCAGTGACTGGCTTTTCAGAAGGAGAGCTCCAGGCGTTTCTTCCTAGTTCATCTTAGTCTGTAAGCTCCGCTGAAACTTGTTCAGTATCAACACACAAGCCTCCACTGACAGGTGGTGTAGTTGCTTTGGGTGTTCATCGGACCCCTGTCCTGCACTTGTTAAGTGCCATCAAGTCGGTCCCAACTCATAGAGACCCCCGTATAGCGTTTCCGAGGAGCAGCTGGTGAGCCTGAACCTTACAGGTCAAACAGCCCATGAGGTCCAGTGCATTAACCCGCAGAGCCACACCAGGACTCCTTCATAGGAGGGGAGAAGTCCACTGAATTGCCACCGTTGTCTCGCTTTCAGCTATTAGTGTTTTGTTTTCAGAAGACCCAACAAGGGAAGCAATACATGGGCTTTTCAGTTTATTCACCTTCATTTGTAAAAAGAAAACACATCTGCCTTTTTGCCAAGTCATTTAATAGGCCTGAGATGGAAAGAAAGTGGGGGACAGGGATGGAGCTATCATAAAAGTTACAAAAAGTTAGCCCAAACGTTTGACAAATGAAGGTTTGAAAGCATGGAGGGAAGATTTCATTCCCCTTTGCTCCCAGAGCAGCTACCCGCTGGCTGCCACGTACGTCAAACCAGCTGAGTACTGCATAAAGCCAAGAGGTGCTCACATCATCTGCGGAGGCCTTGGCGTCAAGACTAGCTCTTTACGGCAATAAGAGGCATTTTCCTTACTGAGGCATTTTTATTATTATTAAGCATTATTTTCCCCACCAGTCCTCTTGTCAGTTTTGTAGAACTCTAGGGGCTGACGTCTGGCCGTGATGCTGGAAGCCAGGCCACTGGTATTTCAAATGCCAACAGGAATTTCCATGGTGGATGGGATTCAGAGGAGCTTCCAGACTAGACTAGAAAGAATGGTTTGGAGATCTACTGCCGAAAATTACCATGGCAACAAGCTTGAGGACCACACAGGACCAGGGAATGTTCTGTTCTACCAAACAGAAAGTGGCCACGAATCATAGTCCAACTGCACAACATCATCCATCTACCGTCTAACTGTATATTATCTCTACCATCTACCATCCATTTACCATCTATATATTATCTATCCACTCGATTTCTATCACCTATACCATCTACCATCTGTCATCTGTCTACAATCTATCTAATCTTTTTGTGTGCCAGATTTTACACTAGCTTAATGAAACATGTAAACTTGTGTTTGAAGGGCTTATTCTGTATGGTGATGGAGATGAAACACTTACACATGATGCATTTGAATTATGACGCTGACAAAGAATATTCAAAGTCCCATGGGCCGCCAAAACAAACAAATCAGTCTTGAAAGAAGTATGGTCAGAATGCTCCTTAGAAGCAAGAATGGTGAGATTTCATCTCGTTCTTTGGACATGTTACCAGGAAGGACCGGTTCCCTGAGAAGGACATCATGCTTGGTAAAGTGGAGAGTCAGCAAAAAAGAGAAAGACCCTCAATGAGATGGACTGACACCAGTGGCGGCCAGCACTAACAGAAATTGTCATGACTAAGGACTAGGTGGTGTTTTGTTCTGTTGTGCATAGGGTCGCTGTCAGTCAGAACTAACTCCATGACACCTAACAACAGGAATAAGGATGAACAAGCACGAAGTACTGCAAGTACAGTATTGTACCTACTACTGAGTCACAGCTTTCCAGCAGGGACGGAAGCGGTATAGACCAAGCCCAGGGAGGTATCCCACTGCCTTGAGACTGACCTCGACACCCCTAGCACTTGCTGGGTGGTGAGGGGATGTGCAGAGTCTCTGCCCTTCCAAGAGGGAAGCACTCAACCCCAATCTAGCAGTAGAAGGTCCCCAACATGCAGCAGCTGTGCAATGCAGGGCAGGCAGGGATGGGACCTGTTTGGGGCACTACTGGTTTAGTGTGCACAAAGCATTTATGAAGCTGAGGTGCTCTCCCCAAAATGTGTGTGGTCACTACCTGTGGATATGTACTCACCTGGGAACGAGGCTTCCTTGGAGATGTAAACAAGGCCACATCCTTGCAGGGTGTGTCTTAAACCAATCACCTGTGACATACAGACGGAGTAGATGCAAGGAAACAAGGAAACGTACAGATGGAGTAGATGCAAGAAGAATGTCTGCTGCCACAGGGAGATCTCCAAGGAAGCCAGGAAGAGCAACTGCAATCATTTTCCCCCACCAGAGCCAACAGCTTTCCCTTAGAACCATTGCGCTGAATTCAAACTGTGAGAAGAGAAAGCTCTGTCCATTAAAACCACCCCCTTGTGGTATTTCTGTTTCAGCTGCATTGAGAAATGAAGTCAGTTGTCTCTAAAACAAAACAAAAACTTGCCTAGGTACTTAAATCCTCCCTCGTTCTTTCTCTGTATGACTTACTTTTTTACCTTTCCAGGGAGGATCTAGCTGGGTCAGGTCTGTGAGGCTACTCCAGGAGGTTCTGCACTCTCAGGAAGAAGACTTGAAGGGGGCACTGGAGCAGAAAACGCTGCCCACTCATCAGCCTGATATCAGCAGACCCTTCAAAAAAAAACCTTTGCTGCGCACAACCCCACCCCCTTAGAAAACACCCACCATGCTGGAGGAAAGCAGAGACACGCCAGATAAACTCAGATGTTTTATTCTGGAGAGCACATATGCACATAGTTCAAACACGGAAAATTAACCTGGAAGTGGATGCCCTAACAGATCAGCTACTGACTATCATGCAACAGAAGTGAACCGGATCCACTGGCCCCCCTCACCCCTCAGTGCCGGAAGGAGGCTCAGACAACCAGGAAGTGTGCAATCCCAGAGGCTGCCAAAGAGGACACAAAGGAAATGGCAGGTTCCTAATAGCAAGAACAACTTAACAGACAGAATCAAAACTGATTCAAGTCATACAGTGAGAGGACAAGAGAAAAAAAGCAAAGAGATCAATATGATCTGAAACCACCTTTTTAACAGTAAGCTGCTGACCTTTTATGGGGACCTCTAGTCCAAGATGTCTGAGGATGAGCCTGTGCTGTTGTTGGGGACACCCCTGAATGGCTAAGGACCCCGTCTGCCACACCCTTCTGGTGCTGACGTCCTCCCGTAAGACCCAGCTGAGGATCAGGCCTTGCCTGCAATGCCCAGAAAGGAACAGGCCCTGAACACCCAAGGCTAGTGGAGGTCTGCTCTCCTGCTAGTCTCTTGGTCCATGTCCAGACACCTTTGAGCATGAACTGTTGGACCCAATTCTGGCCTCATGACATGTCCAGGCATTATTGGCACTTCCTTGCCTCATGTTTCACCATGTCCTTCCTCCTCCCCGGGGCCACAGGTTCCAGCCCTTCTGTTACTTACAATGAGGGTCATTAACATCAGGAACCCGTCAGAATGTGCACACCAGAGAGATCGACTTTTCTAACGTGTCCTCCGCAAGGTCTAGTTCTAGAACCCCAACTAGTCCAGCTGCAGCGCCACCAAAAGTCAGACCAGCTTACTGACACTGATGTTCTCGAGAGCCAACCCAAACGGCTCCTGCTCAATGTTGTCTCACATGGGTCTCAAAGGCGCCAGAGTAAACGGATGTAACAAGATATTCATGCATCGTGTAAGCAGCTCATTCAGAAACACAGACAGCCAGACGCTGACTATCGCAGTTGAAATGTACTTAAAAGGAATACTGACAAAGCCAGTTTCTACAGAGATTCTTTAAACACTCTCTGGAACGATTGTTTTCCACTCATGAAGGCCCAGGACAAAATGTTCTAGGCCAGGAGGTTCCATCCTGCAGACCTTAGAACAGACCACAGGCCTGGAACAAAAGGAAGACATGCTGATGGTGGGTCATGGCCAGCGTTCCACTGCCCTTCAGCTCTCACACTGCCTGGGAGAACACAATGGTCTGAATGACAATGAGTTATTAAGGCAACCAGTGTTTAAAACACGGGGCATGGACACAATCCGATGCCTGAATGGTTAGGAAAAAGACGGTGGACAAGAGATCAGTAAGCATCCACGTAACCAAAAAGCCCTGGAAAGGCAACGGACGGTCGTTGTTGTTTTAACGCGGGTGGGGTAGAAGGGAGACGGGGTAGAACAACTGGATCATCACAACGTCCTGGGAAGAAAGATGTTTTGGGGCTTCCCTGATGAATGGCAAGTCAGAATCGCCCTCTTTCAGACTTTAGGCAATGTTTTCACATTGTTACTGGTGCACCAAATGCCTCTTTCCTTCGGAAGACAGGTTAGTCATATAAACAAATACAAATCGACAGAGAGGAGTCTACCCCCAACTGTCACAGGAGATACGCTTTAGAGACCATCAGACTGACTCACTGTTCTCTTCTCCTCAAAGACTCCCTGCCAAGGATCCCTGGTGGTGCAACCATTACGCTGCTCACAGAAGGGACGGTACTTCAAACTCAGCAGCGGCAGAAAGGCCTGGTGATTGGCACTCTCAAAACTCCACTGCCATTGAGTGGGCTCCGACTCACGCTGACCTAATACATGGTTTCTGAGCCTGTCAATCTTTACTGGAGCAGACAGTTCTGTCTTTCTCCCATAGAGTGGGGCTGGTGGGTTTGAACAGCCAACCTTGCTATTTATTAGCAGCCCAAAGCTTAGCCCATTGAACCACCAGGGCTCTCCATAAATATGGCCGCTTAGGAAGTTCTTCGGAGGCAGTTCTACCCTGTCCTATAGTTATTGAGTGGGAATCGAGACGGCAGCTCACAGCAGCCACTGACTTAACCTGTAAACTCTTTTGAGCAAGGAAGCTGCTACAACTTGTGTGATGGAGGGGAAGGGCAAGAGAGGAGCAAAACACCGAGGGCCATTCTGTGCCAACCCCAATAAGACCAGCTTCCTCACAATCCCTGTGGAAAGGGATATTAGATCTTAACCAGGGATGGGACTTGGAAATATTGAACTTGGACTCAGGAGAAAAGCACAAGTCTGTCCTAACTAGAGTAGTATTCAAATGTGACTACTTTATTTTTGTTTGTTTGTTTTTTTAAAAAAAAAAGAAGAACAAAAAACAAAAATAAATCCTGGAAAGACATGGATATTTCCTTGCAAGCAAAACGGAGAGAAACATATTATTGTTGCTGTGATTATTCGGCCACAGACACATTCAATCAACAAAATGGATCAGAGGCTTTAGAAATGCAGTGTTGTATATGGAAGGTGCAGACTGGTTCAAACATTCTGTACAGAGTGGGCAGAACCACAGCAGAGCTCAACCCCACCAGCAGCAAAACGCCCCCATGGCCCTAGTAAGCATCAGGGCCTGCTCCAAGGCTGTGAGACTCACAGACACTCTCTGGCACAACGCAGACACCTGGGCCGAGTCCACTGGTGAGGGTGATGGGTTCTGGCTGCGCCCGGCGCAAAGCACGTGCATCTTCTAACCAATTTTGAATCGGTTTTTATAAATATGTACAAATCAGTTACAGGCACTTGAAATGTCTTTGGCTGGAATAACCCAACATTGCAAGACAACGTATTCACAGAGCGCCCAGGCCCGGGCCGGGTTCAGCAGGTAATGATTGTGGTTCTTTCTGTCTCTCTCAGAAACACAGATGGGGGTTAGGCTTCAGCCAAAGCCACCTGGAAGAGAGCAAGACAGGTGGGCCGGTCAGAGGGGAGGCCAGGCAACCTGAGCCTGCTGGCCCTGCCCACATACCAGGGCGCTGCAAGGCAGGCGTCGGACACCAGAGCGTTTAGGGTCCTGATCTAAACCAACACCAGAGCCCTGAGATCATCTCTAAACCTTAAACCAAAACTGTCCCCCAAAGTCTTACAACCAAACAGGTTAGTTGGGTCTACCTAAGAACAAATGTCTGCCCTGAGCTTTATGTTCATTTAAAAACTATCTAGGTGGGACCACAATGACAAGGGCGACTTGAGAGGTTACAGAGGACGCTTGGGAGGCCGTGAGTTTCTGTTCACGGGGGAGCAACGCCTCAGGAAAGATGAGTGACAGCGGCTGTGTAACTGGAAGAACGTGTTCTTCATCACTGAGTTGTTCATGTACAAACGGCTCAACTGTGGACATTCTGCCGTGGATAGTCTCACCAACAACATCAAAAACTAAACACATATTTTTTAAATGGGGATAAAAGTCGCATCTGGAAGAGAATGAAAACAAGCTGCAGTCTTCCGCCAGACACATCCATCTGTGGGCCCACTGTCCCGAGAAGGTGTCTCCTGTCAGACACAGTCCTGAGACGGAACCACTGTCCTGAGATACCGCTGTCCTTTTGTTTTATTTCTACACACAAAAAAATTCTTACTGTAAAAACACAAGGGGGCTTTAAGAATTGTACCAGGAACTGCCTGAAGCACCCCCTCCTCCAGATGGCCCATTACCCATGGGGCATTCTCAGGTGCGCAACGTGGCCATCTCCCTGACAGGAATTGCACCATCCATTATCACTGGGGCCAAGTTGCCACCTCCCCCTCGCCTCCCTGAACCTCCCTGCTCCCTTTCCTCAGTAACCACTCATCAAGGTCTCCACCCATTTGCCTATTCTTATGATGGGGTTTAAGTGGGATCATCCAAAGGGTGTCTTCTGGTGACTGACCCCATTCCTGCTGTAGCAGGTGACGGATGGTGCTGACAGTGGTTAGACCCACCCCCACCCAAGCCATCGTCAGTGGGTGACTTGTGCTCTAGACAGCGGGGAACAGGGAGCCCACCCACATCAGCTGCTCTCCAGTCAGGCAGTGAGAATAATCCCCAGCACCGGTGCCTTTAGTACCACAGCTGGGTGTCTGGTTGATGTGCCAACACCGTCATCTCAGTGGAGAAGAAAGAGTACTTGTGGGGGGAAGGCAGGCCCAGACATCTCTGCAGGAAGACGGTGGACGAGGAGGCTCTCTGGTGCACACAGCGCACAGGCGTCACACCCGGCCGGCCACCCCTCCTGACTCACCTTCTCAGGACAAAATTCCGGATTGCTCTGACGTAATTTGCTTGGTCTGCCTTTGATAACGGCGTAGCAAAACATGGTTATGACCATCACGAAGAGGAAGTAGCTGGTGTGCATGAGGTGCAGGTTTATGAGGGAGCGATCGTCCTAAAGAAATAAAAGCAGATGTCGGCACACAGTAGAGAGAGACACACAGACAGACAAAGCCACCTCCTCCAGAGGCTTCAGTGGCCAGTCTGAAGCTACGGCAGGAGGCATTTCCTTCGGCTTCTAAACCTACTCTCATTAAGTGACGCTGTGGTGTCCCGTGGGGCCAGGCTACCCCCACCTTCCTGACGTTGTCTCTGCCCTGGCCGTGAGGCTCTACACTGTCCGACACCCCCTTCCCCCCAACACACACACACACAGGCTCTGTCACCTTCTCCCTGGCTGACCACCGGGCCTGTGTGCCCACCTCGTCCACATCACCTCTCATGAGTTAGCACTTGCCTTTCCCTGAGAGAAGCCTCCGAGGTAGGCCATGGTTCGCTCCTCTCTAAAGCCCCCACAGGGGCCCTGACGTGTTTCTACTCCTTCTCTTCCTCGCAGCATCAGCCTCGAGCACTGAGAAATGTTTCCTGGCTCCCCCGTCTTCCCAACACGCCACCTCATCAACCCCATAGAGCCCACCTGAGGAGAACGTCTAAGTGACTCAGCTAGGCAGGATCAGTCTGCTGTCTACTGCTCACTCCTACAGGCCCCGGTCTACCAACTTCCACAATGTGATGAAAATCGTACATAGGAAAATGGAAAAGAAACAGGCCCAAAACAGGGCCACGGATTTGTGTTGTTTTGTGTTCTTTACAGATCATTACTCCCTTTACAAGAGTCCTGATATGGCCCTGGAGGATAAGCACTGGAGCACAAGGTGGGTTTGAATCGCAAGGTCAGTGGTTCAAACTCACCAGTAACTCCACAGAAACCCTATACAGGGTTGCTATGAGTCAGAATCGACTTGACGGCTCTTAACAACAACAAAAAGTCCCCTTCACACAGAAGAACTCCACCCTAACTAGCATCATCGAGACAAAAGAACAAAGGTCTTCATCACAGGTACATCTCACCCTGCTGGGCTTGCCTGTGCTTCACAGAGACTGAGATTTCTACACATTGCAAGTCTGTGGCACCCTGCAGTTTCCAACAACAGGTGTTCACTTCACGTCTGTACCCAAGATGGTCATTCTTACAAGATTCCAAGCTTTCTCCTCAAGCTACTGTACACTGCACAGACAACAGTCTAGCGTCAACACCACCTTTCTCCACATGGTGAAACCGGAACATTTGCTTTAGAGTGCTATTCGCTTTACCGCGGTGGTCTGGAGCGGAACCCGCAGTATCTCCAAGGCCTGCTTTACAAAGTGGCAGTACAGCTGACTTGAAGCTAAGCTTTCAGACCACCTGTAGGACTAGGTTATGAGGTCTTCCCCCCCTTTTCTCTTTGCTAGTCCAAATCCTACCAGTCCTCAGTATTCAGCCAATGAATCATCATTTTCCACTCCTGGTGTCCACTTCCTGCTCACATGGCTGTAAACCAAGCATTTGGCTACACATGGTTGGCACAGTCACTCTGTGAGTTAGGGAGCACAGCAGCTCCTCAACAAACACACAAGAATGGGACACGTTTTTCTCAACCAAAAGTGTGGCATGTTTTTCCAAGTTTCTACCACTCAACCTGGTCTGCTGTCCAAGGCAGAAGTCTAGAAGGGACAAGGCAGCCCAAGGAGAAAAACAGGGTGTGTTCTAGCAATAAGAGCTCTGGTAGCATCGTGGGTTAAGCACTGGGCTGCGCTCCAAAAGGTCAATGGTTCAAACCCCCAGCCACTCCCATTCAGGGAAGAGATGAGGCTGTTTGCTTCTGTAAAGAGTAAACCCTTGTAAACCCACGGGAGCAGTCCTACTTTGTGCTCTGGGGTCAGACAAGTCACAATCAACTGGAAGACAGCAGGTTGGGTTTGGTTCTAACAGTCCCCAGACACACACTCAATGTGCATGCTCTTGCTCACTCACATCTGGAACGATGACCGTGAGCTTGGGGTTCAAAGCATGGTAGACTTTTCCAATGGCCCCCTTATAACACCAGAACGGGTTGTAGTCTTGAGCGTATTTTGTATTGGCATCTCTGGCGGTGGTGAAGATCTTGTACCAGAGTGTGGCGTTGCTGTACGTGTCAGGGACACAGTGCGGTGGCTGTCTGCAGGAGAGATGGAAGGAAAGACAGGTGCTCAGGGCTCGGCAGCCCACGCTGTGGGTAAGCACTGGACTACTGAAGAGTTGCTCTGCGGGAGGAAGATAAGACAGGCTGCTTCCTTGAAGATTTACAGCCTACTGGGCAGTCAGTCTACTCTGCCCTATGGAGAGTCACGATGACTCAGAATCCACTGGAGGGTCACGGATTTGTGTTGTTTTGTGTTATTTACAGATCATTATTCCCTTTACAAGAGTCCTGATGTGACCCTGATGGATAAGCACTGGAGCACAAGGTGGGTTTGAATCGCAAGGTCAGTGGTTCAAACTCACCAGTAACTCCACAGAAACCCTATATAGGGTTGCTATGAGTCAGAATCGACTTGACGGCTCTTAACAACAACAAAAAGTCCCCTTAACAAAGAAAACAGAGGCCAATAAAAGAAAACTTAAAGGCAGAACAGTAACAAGCTGGCACCCAAAACCCTCGAGCACAAGTTTCAGAAACAGTAATGGCTGGACCACTTATACATTGAACTCCCTCAGAATCCTCCCTGCTAGAATCAGAGGCTTCTGGTCCTCTCCTCTATCAGCCATGGATCCAGTCCAATTCACCTGGACGGTGACGCCCCAAGACAGACAGCCCAGCACATAAACGAGCAGAGCCCATGAAGCATTTCCTTCCTGGTGTCTGCCTTTACGTATCTACGTGCCAGGGAACCATCATCCGGCAAATTCCAAAAGGGCCCTCCGGGAAATCACTTACACAGTGACAGGGAACACGCCGAGAGCAGCAGTGAGGGTCATGCAGGCCGTGAACACCACCTGCTCGCAGTGCCCGTGGAGAGCGCAGTCATCAGCATTCCAGGCCGTGGGCAGCGTGAAGGTGATGTTGATCTCCTCGTGAGCCTCTCTACCTACAAACAGGAAAGAAGCAGAAGCCCACACGTTTATTGTTCTCTAGGACTGGAAGGCCCGACATCAAACCACCTGGGGAATCACTCAGCCAGCCAGTAACATCTGCCTTTGTGGAGGTTCAGGAACAACAGTCTTGGTTCAAATGACAATGTGTAGAGGCACACTGTGGCCCATGGAGAGAGGCCACTCCCAAGGCCAGACACCTTCCACGTTGGGGGGCTCAGACTAGGTGAACTATCAGCACTGCTGGTCTTGTGTTTGTCCAGCACGCTAACCACATTCAAACAGTTCTTGATGTACAACTGCACTTAAAACTTCACCACTGACCCAGGAACACACCTGAAGTGGTGCTGTTCCCCTCAGACAGCTGCTTTCTTACTTTCTATTGTGATTTGGGTGAAGGTTTTACAGAGCAGATCACAGTTTGTTCCCTGTCATTGACTGCAGTTCCCTCTTGTCCCACGTCCTCCCTGTGTCACCTGCTCCCATTCCTCCTTCTGTCCTAAACCTTCTGGACAGAGCCCTGGGGTCAAGGCTGTCCTGTGATCTGAAATGGCTGAAGATCTAAGGGGAGCATACCTCCATAGTGCTGTTGGTCCCCTGATAGACCTGTCTCTTGTGTGGCTGAAAACTGAGCCACAGGGATGAGCCCTGTTCCAGGGGACTACAGACCACAGTCTTGGGGAGTCCATCAATCTCTAGCTGATCAGTACACCTGGCCTTTTTTTTATGATTTTGAGATTTGTCCCACATTTTCCTCTCAGTCTATCCAGGACCTTCGAATGGGACCCCTTTCAGAGTAGTTGGGAGTGGTAGACGGGCACCACGGAGATATTCAGGGTCGTGGAGACTGATGCTCATGTGGTTCCCAAGTCCACTGGACTAATGGTTTCTAAATGACATCAACTTTCTTCCCTCCTCTTTCCTCCTGACAGAGAGAGACCAATAGCTGCACCTTAGATGGCTGCTCAAGAGTTTTTAAGACCCCAGTGACTACTCACCAAAGTAGGATGTAGAACATTGTCTCTGTGGACTGCATGAAGCCAACTGTGCAGGTCAGAGGGTTTAAGAGGCTTAAGGAAGTTCCGAAGACTGGTAAGTGACGGCCCTTAGCCAAACCCCACTAAACCCCAGGTAATAAGCTCCACAGAAGGAAAAAGTCTACTTGGTATATGGGAAACCCAGAAGTCTCCCTTACTGAGACCTCAGGAGCAGCGTTCACCCGACACAGTCACTAGGAGGCTGGCAAGCACGTTACATTCCTAGCCCCTGCGGGGACTTTACAAGGCTCTGGCTAGTCAAAGACCCAATGGTGATTCCTTCAAGGCCCCCGCATGAAGCCTTCCCAACTACCCCAGCTTCTGTTGCTTTCTGGGCTTCTCCCAGATCACTTCCAGTCTGTCACAGGTGTAGATCTGCTCAAAGGGCAGTACTCAGTGCACATTTATAACGTGATTTAAACAACACGTGTAAAGCACTTCCTTGGCACCCAGAACTACTCTAGGTGCTTGGTCAGTTCACAATATCCTCATCTCTCTCAGAATCCCAAAATTCCAAAGGAAAAAGACTAGGTCACAGGTCTTTTCCCGTTTGTCCCAGCAGCTAGCATAGCATGGGACAAAGGCTGGCCCCTCAAACACAGCAGACTGGCAGCAAGATTCCTAATTCCTATTAAAAACCCACTAGGATGGCCTGCCAGCCGCTCCACGGGAGAAAGATGAGGCTTTCTACTCCCATAAAGATTTACACCCTCGGAAACCCTGTATAGGGTCGCTATGGGTCAGAACTGACTCGACGGCACTTAACAACAGGATGGCCTGAATTAACAATTACCTTGCTAAGTAAACATTCAGGCCAGAGTCAGGGCTGCCTCAGTTTCTCACTCTCATCGGCGTGGCGCCATGGGTGGAGTACTGGACTGCAAGTGTCAAGGAAAGCAGGCCGAGCTGGCTGCTCCCACACAGACTGAGCCTCAGACACCCTGCTCAGTCCCACAGGGGTGCTAGGAGTCAGAATCCACTCTATGGCAATGCCATACACCGCACGCCAAACATCTTATTAGTGGAAACGGCTCCTTCTCCTATGTTCCCTTCATTATTTTGTTTATTTTTTAAAGTACTTTACAGTGTTTCAGTGAAGTAAGTGGTTCCATGGACTCCATGTAGCTAAAGACTGGAGAGGAGAAGTCAAGCCACTGGGGACGGAGAAAAGTCTGGAAGGAGAGTCCCATACTCATGTACCTGAGAGTCCGATCTGATGCCCAGAGATGGTCGAGTACAGGTGGGTGACGTTGCGGGAGTACCCTCCAAAAGGTCGGAGAGGGTCCAGGGTCAGCGTGATGGCCACTGAGATGTTGAGTGGGCCCGAGTCCTCCAGGGCCTGAGGGGGCTGGGTGGCGGCCCGGGTCTGCCCGCTGCTCACTGTGCCCTCCAGAGTGGTGCTTTCGTTGGTGAGGTGCTTCAGTGTCTCGTTCTCCGATACACACAAGTCCAAGTCATTGAAGCGTAGCAGAAAGGTGTTCCAGTCCTTAAGCAAAATGACACAGAGAGGGTCAGGGTGAGTGGTCCCAAAGTGCCCCACCACAGGGACACAGGGCACAGGACAGCTCAGGGGCATGTCGCCGTCATCCTTTCATGTGGCATCACGGCGGCCCTTCCTAAACCCCTGAAGTATTGGCAATCGACGCTATAAACACTTCGCTGGCATGAGGTATCAAAAAAGCTGAGATCAAACCCACTTATGCAAGAAAATATTCAAAAATCCAAACAGTATATTATCCTTTAGAAAATGACCTGCCTCCGATTTAAACTGTGGCACCATGGGATAAAGCACTGGACTGCAAGGTCGGTTTGAACTGCAAGGTCAGCAGTTCAAACTCACCAGCAGCTCTCCAGAAACCCTATACACAGAGTTGCTATGACACTTAACAACAGTAAGGAATAAAAAATATTATATTATTATCCCAAAATCGTTTTAACAGCTATAGTTATGATTTTTTTTGGGCTGCTGTTACTTTTAAAATAAGGCTGCCTGCCTTAAAATAAATCCTCAAAAGGTCAAGTCCAGATGCCTTACTTTCTCTCTCAAGAACTTGAAACAGCAGTGAATACCAACACTCGTTTGGTGCTTCTTTCCCTTCGTTATGAAGGGAAGACCCTCAAGGAGATGGACTATCACGGTGGCCGTAACAATGGGCTCAAACTCAGCAACGACTGTGCGGATGGTGCAGGGCCGGCTGTGAGTCAGAACCAACTCAACAGGAACTACCAACAGCACGGGCCTTAGAGTCCACCTTAAAGGAGGAACAATTTCAAAGGAAGGAGAAAAGGTATTTGCAGGATTCTCTTAATACCTACAACCTATACTGATGATTGAAACCATAAGCAAGTTTCTAAAACACACTGAGCTGGTTATGTCCTGGGAAAACGGAAGTGGCTGATGCTACAGCAGCAATGTGTCCACCAGGGTTTACATTAAAGGCTACTCAAGTTGAAAGAGCGACAATGAATCGAGCTCGGGTTTTTACACAGAACGTCTTCCTCCCCAGCAACATCGGTTTATAAAAAGCTGCCACTTGTGAAGGCAACCAAATGACCCTTCCAATGACTCTAACACCAGTATTAATCTGAAGTGCCATTTGCCCAGCAAGCGATTCCCAAGCAGTCAAGCAGACCCACCTCTAACAAAGCATCAGCAAACTGTGCGTGACGTTACATTAGACCGCTACTGGACCTATCGAATTCCATTTCTCCTAACACATATGTAGTCAGCTGACCAGTCTCCAGCGGTGGGGCTGAAAATGAGTGTCTGGTTCTATCCCTTATATCCCACAGGAGGCCACAGCGGCCCACAGCAGATCAGGGACTTTCCAGTTCCACAGTGAGGCAGAATCCAGGACCACATTTTCTGATTCACTGACTCTGGAACATGCTCATGTTCTCTTGTGAAAACAAAATCACCAAAGTGATCATCAAGATTCCTCGTGGTGGAACAAACTAGGTGCTCAGCTGCCAAATGAAACGTTGGCAGATCGGGCCCATCCAGTGTCTCCACAGGAGCAAAGACTGGGGGATTTGCTCTGCGAAGACGACCATGTACGACTCCCTAAGGGACAGCAGTTCTACTCTGTCATATGCAGTCACTATAAAAACACAGCAATAAATTCACCCTAAACCATGTTCTGCAGCCTTTGGGCACCGCTGTCCCTTAGAGCTTGACTCCAATTTGAAAACCAGTCAAGGCCAATGCCAGAGGCCCCTCTACCCAGGCTACATCCTGCCCACCCCACCCACTGGCCTTGGCCGAGTGTCCACAGAGATATAAGTTCTGCAAGGAAGCGCTGCCAACCTGCTGAGATTTGGTGGTGAAGAAACGGGGCTAGAATGTTCTTTTCATCCCTGATATGGGGGCAGCTTGTTGGTGCAGCCTTTTAAGATTCAGGCAGGGTCAGAAGAGGGAAGCATTAAACCAGCAAGTCTGTCTTGGCCATTCTCGTACTATTTCAGACTTGTTCATCATTGTTATTGCACACTTAATCGAGAACAGTCTAGTGTCAACATCCCTTTTCCACGCACAGGGAAACCAGAACATTCACGGGACTCACTTGACTGTGGTTCTACCCCCACCGCAGTATCCCCGAGGTCTACCTCAATCTTTTCCTAACAAAGTGAGTCACAGAGAGAGGGAAGACAACACATTGCAAATTAATACTGACTGTTCCCACTGGGAGGAAAAGGTCCCAACCAGAGAAAAGGGTATAGGAAGCCAAAAGCTGTGTCCTCACTGGACAAGGACAGTCAGTCAAGTCCCGGAGGGCTCGAGATGCTCCAGACCATACCTCTGTCATCCCCGGTGACTTGATTTCCTTGATTTTGAAGAAGTAGCCCAGGGTCAGGAAAGCGATGGCCATGGCGCTGACACTGATCATGAAGACCACCAGCGGGGGCCGGCTGCTGATGTACAGCTTCAGGTTCTCCAGGGGGTGGATGCTCAACATTGTTCTCATCAGCGACACCTGAAAGCCATTCATGGGAACATTAGCAGCTGCTGGAAAGACATGCCAAAGGTCAGCAGGGATTCTCACCTTTGTTTCTTTTTGTAGTACTGGAGTGGGGGGTTGGAGCAAGAAGGTCATCACTCATTACTGAACTGGAGAAACAACATAAATTGCTCATGTTGTTGTTGCTAAGTACAGTTGAGTCGGTTGCGGCTCATAATGACCCTGTATAGGGTTTCCAAGAGGCGGCTTGTGGATTTGAACAGCCCAGCCTGCAGTTCAAACTGACCTTGTGCTCCAGTGCTTTATCCACACAAGGAGGCAAGAGGGATAACACAGTGCATGTAACCTGTGGTTAGGATCTTGAAAGAAACGCATTTTCTCCCTCCTCTGAGTTTTCTACATAGTCCCTACCGAATATTGCTACTTCTGTATTACTTTAGAAACCATCTGACTAAGTCAGTAATAGGTCAGTAAGACAACACAAAGCCATGCCAACATGTACAAAATTCAACAGAGAATGATCTCATTCCCTACAACTGAAAAGTGGAGTTCTAGTTAACAGGACGCCTGGTGTGGCATTGCCGGATAAGCACTGGACTACATACCACAAGTCAATGGCACTTAACACAACAACAAACAAACCACAAAATCTGCAGTTCAAACCCACCAACTGCTCTTTGGAAACCCTAAAAAGGACCACTGTAGTATCGGTCATGCCTGTCACGGCGTAGGTACGCAGTAAATACCGAGTTGTTTAAAGCCCTCTTAAGAATGCCCACTGGAGGTAGGATGAGGTCATTCCTCTAGTGGCCCACAGGGTTTCATGATTCAGAAGCTCCACCTCCTTCGCTGGAGTCCTGGTGTGGTGCTGTGGGTTAAGGCGCTGGACTGCAAGGTCATTTTGAATCACAAGGTCAGTGGTTCAAACTTACCAACCACTCCTTGGAAACCCTATAAAAGGTCGCTATGGGTCAGAACCAACTCAACAGCACTAATATCCTCTTTCGCTGGGCTTTGGCTGCACTGGCTTTCTTGGTACTTGTTCAGGATAAGCCTTTCAATTTCTGCAGAGAAGCCAGACGAGACCTTGATGGGAACTGCAATGAGTCTATAGCTCAATTTAGGGCATTGTTGTTGTCATTAAGTACCACAGAATCAGTTCCAACCCATGTTGTTGTTGTTGTTGTTGTTGTTAAGTGCCGTCGAGTCGGTTCCGACCCATAGCGACCCTGTACAGGGTTTCCGAGGGTGTAAATCTTTACGGGAGCAGAAAGCCTCATCTTTCTCCCACGGAACAGCTGGTAGTTTCAAACTGCTGACCTTGAGGTTAGCAACCCAACTCGTAACCACTACGCTACCAGAGCTCCTTAATTTAGGGCATATTACAATCTAAACTATACTAATTTCTCCAATCTATGAACATGGGATATCTTTCTCTTAATTTAAGTCTTTAGTTTTTCAAAGTATTAAGTTTACATCTCTTTCAAATTTATTCCTAAGTGTTTCATTCAATAGCCTCATATGGATGCAAAAGCTGGACAGTGAATAAGGAAGACCATAGAAGAATTGATGCCTTCGAGTTGTGGTGTTGGAGGAGAATACTAAAAGTGCCATGGACTGCCAAAAGAACCAATAGATCTATTTTGGAAGAAGTGCAGCCAGAGTGCTCCTTGGAGGCCAGGATGGCTAAACTTCGTCTCTCATACTTTGGACACATTGTCAGGAGGGAGCAGTCGCTGGAGAAGGATGTCATGCTGGGTAAGGTGGAGGGTCAGAGAAAAAGAGGAAGACCCCCAACGAGATGGATCGGCCAGGTGGCATCATTGATGGCGTCAATTGTGTGGCGGCAGTGGTGAGGTTGGTCCAGGATCGGACATTGTTTCATTCTGCTGTGCATGGGGTCGCTATGAGTCGGTTCCGACTCGATGGTACCTGACAACAACAACATTTATATATGTATATATATAAAAGGAGCTCTGGTAGCATAGTGGTTACAAATCGGGCTGCTAACCTCAAGGTAGGCAGTTCAAAACTACCAGTGGTTCCACAGGAGAAAGATGAGGCTTTCTGCTCCCGTAAAGATTTACAGCCTCGGAAACCCTGTGCAGGGTCACTATGAGTCAAAACCGACTCCACGGTACTTAACAACAACAACAATGTATGTAAAGGAAAGCTCTTGCACATCTTGTTAGTCAAATACACTCTGATTTGTATAGCTACCACTGATGCTATCTTCTAAACATTAAAATGTCTAGCCTTATTGTTAGGTGCTGTTGAGTTGGTTCCAACAACTAGTAACCCATGCACAATAAAACGGAGCACAGTCCGGTCCTGGGCCAACCTCACAATGTTTCAGCCCACTGCTGCTGATGCTGTCAGTTTCTCTCTCACTGACACTCCACTTGACCAAGCACGAAGTCCTTCTCCAGGGCCGGGGCCCTCTTGACATGTCCGAAGTACAAGAGATGAAATCTCATCACCCTCGCTTCTTGGCTGTGCTTCTTCCAACACAGATTTGTTTGTCCTTCTGGCAGTCCCGGTGCTTTCAATTATTCTTCACCATCACCATAATTCAAATGTCAGTGTCATGTGTTTATATAAATTCCACTGCTCTTAGGTTATATAAACGCAGCTGACTTGTATATTGATCTTGATTCTAACCACTTTGAGAATCTTTTTTGTGTGGCAGTCACATTGTTTATCAACAGTACTGGCTGTTTCTTCCTTTCCAGCCCTTCTGCCATTTTTTCTTTGCTACTTGGAGTAGAACCTTCCAGGAAATGAAGAATCGAAGTGGCCACAGTAGGAATGCTTGCCATACTTTTGGCTTTAAAGGAAATGCGTGTCCTGTATTTTTCTGAGACACAGAATTTGTTCAAGGTTTCTGACAGCAATTCCTCACCATGCCAAGGAAACACCCTTCTATCCTGAGTTTGCTAAGAGACTTCGCTGTAAATTAGGATTATATTTTAATGACTATTCTATCTGTAGTCTCTGACAATGTTTCTCCTGTAACATTACTTCTGTTAACATGAACTATGTTAATGATCGTTTTCATTTTGACTAATATTTACGTTCCCTGGCTACACTTGTGTTTTGTTGTTGTTGTTAAGTGCCTTCAAGTCAGTTCCAACCCATAGAAACCCTGTATAGAAACAGCTGGTGAACTTGAACTGCCGACGTTACAGTTCAAATCAACTTTGCAGTCCAGCGCATTAACGCACAGTGCCACACTAAGATTTATTCTGAATTTTCCCATCTACTCATGAGTCCGAAAAAATTCTAGGTCGTTATCCTATTTTCCTTGACTATGTGGGTCATACCAGTGTCATGAAAGCATTTGAATTTGTTCATGTCTGTTTTTTAGAACAGTTTGTACGAGATAGGCACTTCTATTTCTCAGAATTCTGACAGAACTTGGCTATAAAACCATCTGGGTCTGCCAAGGTTTTTTATTTAGTTTTGTATTTTGGTGGGTGGTCTTAACTTGTTATTGTTTTTTTAAATGGCTGTAAGCCTATGCTTTCTGTTTCTACAGATTCCATTTGAATAAGACATACCACTCTAACCAAAGGTCCATTTTATGTTGGTTCTTACAATTCCAGTGTTATGTTAGGGTTTAGTCACTGTTGACTGTTAACATTCCTTTTCAACTGCAAATGTTTATTTTTTCCATGTGCCTTCTCTTTCCCTTTAAGCAATCTTGCCAGAGCTTTGCTGCAGTCGTGGTTTCAAAGGCCAGTACTTGATGGTTTCATAAAATGCATCTAGATCATCTCTGTGTTCCAGGCCTGTCAGTCCTATACAGACTTTTAGGCTTTTCTTCCACATACTTCCTTTGGGTTTCCTCAGCTGGCTTGTTCTAGCTTCTTCAATTGGAATCTTGGCTCCTATTTTTTCACTCTTTTCTCATGTAAGCACTTCAGGACCTACATTTCTCTCAACATACTCCACCATCCCCACATCCCTATACCATTTAGCTCCATTCCTTCCCCTCACGGCCACCATCTTAATCCATCAGCAAGTACTGTGGGTGTTCTTTCCAACCATTCTGCCTCATTTTAAGATGATAAAAAACAAAAACAGGTGCCGCTGAGTGGACTCTAATCCATGTCAACCCCACATGTGTCAGAATAGAATTGGACTCCACGGGGTTTTCAGTGGTTGATTTTTCAGACGTGGATCACGGGAGGGTCAGCGAGAAAGAGGAAGACCTTCAACGAGATGGACTGGTACAGTGGCAACAGTTAAGGGCTCACACCTAACAACTGTGAGGGTGGCACAGGACTGGGCAGTGTTTCCTTCTGTTGTGCATTTGAGTTGGAACTGGCTAAACGGCACCTAACCACTTCTTTGTAGAGGCGGATAATCATTTTAGTCCTGTAGGGATTGCTACAGACCTGAGACCTCTATGTTCAAGTCCCCACTGGAGATCTCTATACCTATATATCCACCATGCTCAAAATTGAGCTTGTCTATCGGGCTATGAACCTTAAGGTCAGCAGTTCGAAACTACCAGCTGTTCTGCAAGAGAAAGATGTGGCTTTCTGCTCTCGTAAAGATTTACAGCCTAGGAAACCCTGTACAGGGTCGCTATGAGTCGGTTCCAACTCCACGGCACATAACCACCCCCACCACCATTCTCCTCCCAAACCTGGCTCGCCCTCTTGTATTGCTCAATCAGGAAGCATCCTGGACTTCCGGTGCCTTATACCCAAATCTACGTATGCAATTACTAAGCACTAAAGACACTATTTCTTTAACAAATGTTCCTTTTTACGCTTCCATTCTGCTCCTCTCAGGCCCTCATCATTTTGTTTGTGCCTCTTGCCAAGAGTTTCCGTGGGTCTCTTTGCTAAAATCTGTTGTCAGAGACTTTTCCAAAAGCGATCTAATCACAGTACTGCTTAAATCTCTCAAAACTACAGATGATCAGAGAATGAAGTCCAAGACCTTGGAACGGCAGCCCAACAAGAGGGAAGAGAGACATAACATAGTCTTAAACATAA